GCGGGGCTGCGGCTGTAGCAGCTACAGCCCTACAGTGTGGCTGTACTTCACATTCGGAGCGCGGCGGGCGCGGCAAGCGCGGAACACTGCGGCGGCGCCGACTTCACAGGGCTGCGCGGAATTCCCACCACTGTGGTTTATGGCCCCGCGGAGGGGCGTGGGGCCGCGGGGGAGGGGGGGGGAGTCGCCAGATTCAGGAGCACAGCGGGCACAAACTTTGGGTTCCGGCACAGCAAGCTGCCGCAGCGGCGGCCGGCGGCGTTACGTGTTTCGTGGACAGGGCCCCGAGAGCGTGAGCAAGGCGAAGCGGCCAGGCGACGCGGCCAGGCGACGCGGCGCGCGAACCGAACCGAACCTAGCCACACGGTGCGCACGTGGCGATGAATGTACCCCACGATGAATGTGCCTAGGGGTACAGCCATCGCGCGACGGATGTAACTGGCGGCCCGCCCGGAGCGCCTTGCAGGTAGGCAGCCGGCGAGTCGGCGCGCCGCCGTGTGGTGCGGGCCTGCCTACCCGCCGGGCTGTAGGCGTCCCCGGCACGGCCAAGCAGGCCCCCGCGGCACTGCGGCACTGCGCCACCAGTCGTGGCCGGAATATCAACCCAATATCAACCCGCACTCCCGCGCACAAACAAACACGCGGCGCGCAGCAGCCTCATTCCCAACAGTGGCTCGCCGCCCTCCCTCTCTCTTTCTCTCTCTGTGGCGTAGGGCTACGCGAGAGAGAGAGAGAGAGAGAGAGAGAGAGAGAGATAGATCGTGAGGCTGTGGGGAATGATACTGCAGCACTGAGGTGAGGGAAGGCTGGGGTCCGTGATGGGTCTCGACTGGCGGGTGGCAGCACTGGGAGCAGCATTCGCACCGGCCGAGCCCCGGGCCGTGCCTCGCCGAGCCCAGCCCAGCCCAGCGCGCCAACCTGCACCAACGCACTTGCCAAGAGCGGCGGCTCACCGGTGCTTGCTGCTCTGTTTACAAACGGCCACCGTCCGGCGCGCCTGTAGCGCCTGTCCCCTGCGGCGAACCTACTCACACACACCCTTTCTGTTTCTCTCTAGTACGCACGCGTGCACGCGCACACACATTTGCGGGCGAATAAACGTGCGCTTAGTTACGAAATCATTACTCTGGGGATGACAAACTTTGAAGCCGGACAGGCAGTGGCGCCGAGAGAGAGAAGGACGGTCGGGTGGGTGTTTTGACAACGCCTCCCTTCCACAAACACGAGGGCGGAAAGAGGGCTCCGCCGGCTACGCCGCTGCGCACCGCATTTCGGTGTGTAAGGGCCATGTGTTCAAGGGGAAACACGAGAGAGTCCGGGGAGGGGGAGGGGTCCCGGAGCCCGGCGCCGCTTTGAGCACGCACAGAGTGGAGACATTCGATTGCTGATAAACTTGGTCGGCCGGCCGTGGCCCCGGCGACAGCCAGACTTGCCCCGCGCTTAAGATAGGGCTCTGGCTGGGCTGCAGGGCAAGGCGGGCACGGCGAGGGGCTGCTGCCGTCCCACCCCGGACGCCCCAGGGACGCCTCAGTGGCTGTGACGCTGCTGGACGCGGTACGAGGTGTGAAGGGTGGTGGAGGGCTGCGCCGGGGCCGCCACGCCAGGCCGCTGAGGCCAAGGCTGAGGCAGGCCCGTCCCGGGGATTGCGGGGGGATAGTCCGGGCTGTCCGGCCGGTCAAGGAGGGCGCGAGGGCGGGGCTGGTGGTAATCCCCGGCCCCGGCGTTGGAGGGCCCGGCCAGGCCGCTGGTGTGGTGGAGTCTAGCAAGTTGGCGGCCAGGCCTGGCGCGGCCCGACCCTGACTTGGAACGTGATGGGCATCCGTGGCCGGGCCGCCGGACCCTGACGCTATATCATTCCCTGATCGCTGGCTGCCAGCGCCGCCAGCCCTGCCGGCGCGCGCGCGCGGTGCCCAGGGCGAAGGGGCCGGGGCGGCTCGCTGGCCGGCAGAAGGGGGCGTCGCCCCCATTGTTCCCGACGTGGCCGACGTGGCCGACGAGGCGCAGGGTCCATGAAAAAGAGGTGGCGGTGTGCGAAGTACGGCCGCCCTGCTGCGCCGCGCTGTTGCGGCCTTCGCGTTAGGAAAGGTGTTCGCAGAGGCGGAGAGAGAGAGAGAGAGAGAGAGAGAGAGAGAGAGGGAGAAGGAAAAGAGGAGAGGAGGAGGAGAGCGAGAGCGAGAGAGAGAGAGAGAGGAGAGAGAGAGAGAGAGAGAGAGAGAGAGAGAGAGAGAGAGAGAGAGAGAGAGAGCACGAGAGAGCCTCCCCAGGCGCCCTGACGCCCACCGTGCCTCGCCGACATGGAAATAATGGGACCGGGACCAGCGGGGCCCCAGCGCGCCGCCAGGGCCGCCGACGCACAGTGCAGCACCGCGGCGAGGCAGACGCGGCACGCGGCGGGGGCGCGAGGTAAATAGAGGCACTGGCACTGAGGGCGCCACTCCCAAGGGCCCCCCTGCCGCCCGCGCCCTGCGCCGCCGCCAGCTGCGGCAGGGAATCGGGAAAGGGGGAGGAAAAGATAGCCAAGCTGTGTTCACTTGTTATGTGAGGTGAGAATGCGACTGTCTACGTGCGGGTTCTGTTTTGTCATGATTCACCACGCCTTCTCGCCATAATTCAGTCTCGGTAGCAGGTCTGCGGGGAAAGGGGTTGTGGATGCGATGTGCCGCAATGCGCCGCAATGCGCGATGCGTGGAGACTCAGGCGTGTCCGCGGTTCGGGGGGTGCCCGACTCCCCGCGCGAACAGTCGGCCTCGGACGCGGCCGTGGACCACCCGGCGAGTTGGGCACCAATTGTGCGAGGAGGCGGCCGCGCGGCGAGACGCAGGACCGGCCTGTTCTTTGAGCGGCACGGCCGGGACGGCGCCTGCACGGGGCGGCGCGGGCCGACTGCACAGGTGGTCACGGCGGCTGGGGTGACACAGCAGGCCGAGTGAGCAGGCGACTTCGGGGCAGCTGACTGCCACCGCCGTGACGCAGTGCAGCCCATTGCTGTCCGAGCCACCCTCGCCGCCATGCCTACCCGGACGCACCCGGAAGGCATTATTGCCTCCGCCATGAAGCTCTTCTCGGAGCCACCACCCGCCACCACCCCGTCGTCGTGGTGCCGGCCCAGGCCCCGGCCCCGGCCACGCCGCGCGACGCCCGCCACGCCCTGCCCCATTGGCGGACTTGTTGCCGTCGGAAGACTGTCTCTTCGCAGCCCCGCCCCGCCCCACCACGCCCCGCCCCGCGGAGGTGTTGGGGGACTCACACATCAGCTCAGCTCTGCACGGCGGCACGGCGGTGGCGACTACGGTATTCCATCATGAAGTCGGGTTAAGCACCACTGGCCGATGCGCTGGGCCGCGAGACGAATCTCGGCACGACACTGTACGGCCTCACGCACTGCCCATGGCACGGCACGCACGCGGCACGCACGCGGCACGCGCGTCGCGTCGCGTCACGGTGGAGTCGCCGGCTGGGCCTAAGCGCGGGCAGGCCAAGGCAGCCCAGGGCAGGCCGCAGCACCGCGGCAACACGCAGTGCACGCAGCGCGGAGTCAACTTGCGGAGTGGCGGAGGCGAGGCGAACCACGGCCACGGCGAGGCGAGAGAAGACTAGACTGCACGTCTGCTCCGCTGTGCCGCGCCGCACCGAGCCGGGCCGAGCCGAGTCGAGCCGATCCGAGCCGGCCAGGGGGCCCCTTCGGCCTGGGCTGCCTGGGCCCCCCCGTGGTGGGGGCGAGGGCACGCGGGCCCTAGCGGTAGAGGGCCCCGGGGCCGGGGTGGTCGGGGTGGCCGGGGTTGGGGTCGGCGCGAGGGTGGGTGCGGCACGGAGGCCCGGTGGGTGGGGCCGGGTGGGCCGGGTAGCCGGGGCCGAGGGCAGGGGGTGGAAACGGGCGGGACCTTACTCGCCTGGCCGTCGGTGCCGTCGGTGCCGTCGGGCTGTGCTGCTGTGCTCCCGGACGAGACGAGGCACCGCGCGGCCCGCGCAGTGCTAGCGCAGCCAGCGCCGTGTAACGAGCCGAGGGAGAGAGCGAGAGAGAGGCGGGGCCGCGTTGCGCCGCGTGCGAGACAGGGAGGGACACTCGGCGAAGGGGATGAGTCACGGAAAGGCGACGAAAAGGAGAGGGGCGGAATGGAAGGACCTTTCCCTACCCAATCCTCCTTTTCCTTCCCTTCGGCCCTACGGCCCTTCCCTTCTCCGCAGGAACAGTGCCGCAAGGGCAGCGAGGGCGAGGCACCAGGGTGGAGGGGGAGGGGGAAGGGGTGGTTACAAAGGCACACAAAGGGCAGGCATGGACGATGAAACGAATTAAGGGGAAACGAGGGGGAATTGGAAAGTGGCGAGAACACGACGGTTGGACCGGCCAGGGAGAGGGTATCTCCCCGCCCCGCGGGGTAAGTCAGAGAGAGGGGGGGGGGAGGGGGGTGCTGCTCGCTCACATTGTCTCTGGCCGATACCGATGTACCTGTAAAACTCGAAGAATGGACGAACAGACCATAAAATTTTTATCATTTATTTCAACTTTTTTAAATACGAATGTATGGACACAATGATGGGTCGAGCTGCCTGGACCGTGGGGAAGTACGCAGTCCGGGCCGTGGAGCTGGAGCACACGCCGAGCCTTGCAGACGTGGGCCTTGTTCTGGTTCCTTGTTCGATGCCACCGCGCACCCAATTTTTGCCGAACGTTACGATGTTAGTGCAGAGTACGTTTGTGAAATTTCGCATTAGTGGACATTCAGACTGTACAAATGGCAAATACTTTTTAAAAAGTAAACTTTGTCATCCTTGGCTTTTTTAAAATTGTTTTCACTGTTTGTTTTTTATTTGAAGCGCAGCTGTCTGTGTCTGGTAAAATTGTTTTAAAAAAATTGCTGCTTGAATTAAACCTGTTTGTACACAATCTGAATAGCTATGGAGTATTCCTGTATGGCGAGTTTTTTTTTTTTCTCCTAGAATTCCCAAGGATCTTTTGTTTATGGACAAGAGCTGAATGAGAGTAAAATAAAACAATAATGTCACAGTTTTAATATCCATTTATTCTTAATGAAAGTTTAAAGAAATTACTTCTTAAAAAACATTTCCTATGCAAAGGTCCAATGATACAACAAATCTGAAGAACATGTGAGATGAAATAAGAACACACAATTTTACAGAAATGACTATCGTCTGCTGAGGTGAAATTACTGTAAAAGTTACTTATGACACTGACAAGTTTTACAAATACCACAAGATCAGCAGCTCAGTAGAAATATTACTGTCACATAATTAAAGCTTCATTGGAGCTTGAGCTACTCACATAACGTGGTCACCAGAAAGAGAGAGAAATTACGAAAGAATTCTAACATCACTCACATCACTTATAAGGAGATCACATTATGTGCAAAAATTGTAAAAGAGACAACAAAAATTACATCACAAAAGACACTTAATTATTTAAATTAATTGGCAATCACAAATGACCCTCTGCAGGTCGCAAAACAACTTAATTTGATCAAACATTCTCACAGTGATAAAGTGAGCAAAACAAACTGACAGTGTAAAGTCAAAATGTTGCAGCATACAGATTGAAAATTATTATTTCCAACAAGACAAAGAAAAAAACAAAACAATGTGATCAAAGAGAACAATAGCTCATAATAGTTCGTCTAAATTAAATTTAAGAATGTAATGCGGAATCAAAAAGATAAAACTAAACAACATAAAAAAAGCTCAACTGCGGCCTCCAGAGGATCAAGCACTTGATTAAATATACTTTGTGTGGGTCAGTGCCCCTTCTCCAAAGGTTGGATCTGTCATGCGAGACCAATCAGTCTGCCCCACTACAAAACCTATAGCTCTCATTTTTTCTTGTTTCCGACGTTCCTCCAAATCTGCCCAGCGTACCTGCACACAAGAAATTTGTCATGAGTGCATGGAAAACACCAGAAAGCCTAACACAAAAAGGCTAGAAATAAAAGAAACAAAGAGAAATTTTAATCTTGTCACTTCCATCAACAATAAAATAAAATGCTTTTGATAAGGGTTAACTAACCTGCTTTTTGCCTGGGGTGGCCTCTCTTTCACCGTAGTCATCTGGAAGGTTCAGCCAATCTTCCATTGTTTGAGGAGTGCCATCCTTTCTACGTTTCGCCAAACCATCCAGGCGGTCTGAAAAGTGGTAATGCCACAACGGGTGGGACTGGATGAGAATAGTGTATAGGATAGGACTTGAGTGAGTACAGGAGTTGCAGGAATTGTTTTTTGTATCAATGAAAGATGTAAAGTGTGAAATAAAACATGTGTTTTAAAGAGTCAAAATTGTAAAAGAAAATGTTGAAATAAAACATGTGCGTGCAGATGCTTCTGCTTGTATCGCATTTGTTCGTTTTTAAAGTTTGTTTTGTGTATTTTTCCTTTGACGCAATTGAATTAACTTATACCAATTCTTCAGCATTGAATAAGAAACGCCCAGATTCACCAGTAATAACACACAAGTCTGGGAAAGAACTGGTGCTCTAAGAACGCAATGGAAATGTTGCAGCAGACTCTGGCGCCTCAACTTTACTCACCCATGGTTTCTCCTTGTGACTCCATTTGCTCCCATTTGCTCATAAATACATTTTTCTGGAAATAATTATTTTAAATAAGTATATAGAGCTCAGTGAACAAGGAAATAATAGCACCAACAATTTTTTTAAATACCTCTACTTCAGCCTCATCTTCGTCATCCTTTTTGTCTTCTCCCGTGTCATCTTCATTAGCTTCTTCCTTGTCTTCATCCTTGGCTTCTTCTTCATCATCCGCATCTTTCATTTCTACATCTTCAATGGCAGCTGACTGAAGCATGGAAGTTGGGTCTGTACGCAATAGAAGGCTAGGAGTTTCTTCCCAGCTATCAATAATATCCTGAATATCTTTTTCACTACGGCTGTGAATATTGTGTTTAAGACATGCTTGGAGATCTCGATCCAATTCACAAATATAAACCTGATTTTAAAAACAAAATTGTTAGTGTAGTCGACTTAGAAATAAATACTTATAAAATAAACATGAACGCACACATGTTCTTACCTGGAAGCTTTTGGCTTTAGCAAAGTTTATCATTTCTTCAAAATGAGCCAATTTATTGTTGATGGCATCGACTATAAGGAAACTAAAGTAGCCATCATTTACTGTTTTCTTGAAAGCCTTTACTAATGAGTCTTGATAACTCTTTTCCATGGCAGCTTCATATTCATACTCCATCACCTAAAATTGACATTTAAATTTTTCTTATTAAAAACATGTAAAACCATAAACAGTGACTGTCGATTTGGCCACAGCACTCACCTTGTTCTTGACCTTCCTGCCCGTCTCTGGGTCACGCTCCTCCTTCTCCACCTCCGACACGAAGTAGTCGTCCAGACTGAGCATGCGGGGCGTGGAGCCTCCCTGCTCCACCTCCTTGTCCTTGATGAGCTTGGCGAGGTACGACTTGCCGGAGCCGGGCGGGCCGCGCAGGATCACCACCAGGTTGGCGGGCCTGCTGAGGCGTCCTGGCGGACACAGCAGGTCCTCGATGAGCACGGGCGGGGGCACAGTCGGCCCAGGACTCTCCTTGCTCGGCACCGAGGGTGGTGGCGGTGCCTCCATCAACGGCGAGGGTTGTCGTCGGCGATCTCTCTCCCGCTCGCGGTCCCTCCAGCGAGGCGCGCCGGGGCCGCTAGGGCCTGCAGACCCCCCAGGGCCTCCAGGGCCTCCACTGGGGCCAACGCCATTCCTTGGCCGGTCGCCGAAGCGGTCACCGTACCGGTCGCCGCCAAACCTGTCATCTTCGAAGCGGCGCCGGTCGCCGCGGTCCCGGAAAAAGCGATCTTCCCGGTCTCGCTCCCAGCTGCGGTCGCGCTCCCGGAAACGGTCGCGCTCCCAGCGATCCCGGTCCCTCCAGGTGGGGCTCCTCGGCGGGCTGGGCCGCGACGTGGAGGCGTGGCCGCCGTGGCCGTAGTCGAACGTGGCGAACGGCTCCAGGGACGGCGGTGGCGGCGGCGCGGCGATCGGAGGGGCGCTGATGCTAGCGATGCTAGCAGTGGCTGCTGCGCTGGGCGCCACGGAGCCCCCCGCAGGACGGTGGCCGTAGTCCACGACGGTGGCCGGCATGATGAATTCATCGGGAGGGCCCAGGGGGCGACCCAGACCCGGGCCGTCCCAGGGCCTGCTTCGCACCGGCAGTGCACCGTCAGAGCCTCGGTGGCCCCAGTCGCGTTCGATGGGGGCGAAGGGCCGGGGGTTGCGGCTGTCTTCAGGGCCGGACTTGTAGGGCTTGTCGTCCACCTTGGCCTTCTCCTTGTCGACCGGTGGCGATTCCCGTCGCGGTGGTCGAGGCATGTCCCTGCCGAAGCGGTCCTTGTATGGTTTAGGTTCTTCTCGAGGAGGAGCGGCCTTCTTGTCTTCACTTGAACCAGGTGGACCCTTGGAGTCATCTTTTGAGCCCGGTGGGCCCCGGAAGTCATCTCTAGGACCTGGTGGGCCCCGGAACTCATCTCTCGCACCAGGCGGCCCTTTAGAGTTATCTCTCGGACCGGGTGGGCCACGGAGGTCATCTCGCAAACCAGGCGGTCCTTTAAAATCGTCTCTCGAATCGGGCGGTCCTTTGAAATCATCTCTCGAACCAGGAGGTCCTTTAAAATCATCTCTCGGACCAGGGGGTCCTTTAAAATCATCTCTCGGACCTGGCGGGCCCCGGTAGTTATCCCTCGAACCAGGTGGACCTCGGAAGTCTTCTCTCTGACCAGGTGGGCCCCGGAAGTCATCTCTCGGTCCAGGTGGGCCCCGGAAGTCATCTCTCTGACCAGGCGGACCCCGGAAGTCATCTCTCTGACCAGGCGGGCCACGGAAGTCATCTCTCTGGCCAGGTGGACCACGGAAGTCTTCTCTCTGACCAGGTGGGCCACGGAAGTCTTCTCTCTGACCAGGTGGGCCCCGGAAGTCATCCTTCGGACCAGGCGGACCTCGGAAGTCATCTCTCTGACCAGGGGGACCCCGGAAGTCATCCCTCGGACCAGGCGGGCCACGGAAGTCATCTCTCTGACCAGGTGGACCACGGAAGTCATCCCTCGGACCAGGCGGACCTCGGAAGTCATCTCTCTGACCAAGGGGCGGCCGGAAATCATCTCTTGGACCAGGTGGACCACGGAAGTCATCTCTCTGACCAGGTGGACCTCGGAAGTCATCCCTCGGACCGGGCGGGCCACGGAAGTCATCTCTCTGTCCAGGGGGGCCATGGAAGTCATCCCTCGGACCGGGCGGGCCACGGAAGTCATCTCTCTGACCAGGCGGACCCCGGAAGTCATCCCTCGGACCAGGTGGCCCCCCCGCGCCGTCCCGCTCACCTGGTGGTCCCCTAAAGTTGGGTGGTCCACGTCCTTCATCTCTTAATTCTCTTGGCCCGAGGAAATCGCCTCTTCTGTTGTCATCACGATTGCCAAACGCTGGTCCTTTGCCATCTCCCTGTCCGAGAAGTCCTTGCTGTGGCACAGGATCCTGTTGGTCATGCCACCCAGCTGGCCCCCGAACGTTAGCGTCCAGAGTGCCACCTGAACAACCAGGTTTTGACCCCAACAGACCCATAGGTTCTTCCTTGAGACCTAGAAAGAAAAAAAGAAAAGGGAAAGTTTAAAGCACGTATAGATTTCAAAAATTCGCTATCAGAAATAATAGGAAGGGAAAGCGTTTTTACCATCTGGTTTTGAAAAGCCTGTATTTGATTTTTGCTCGTCCTTGGATGGATCTCTCTCATTGTTTATATCTTGGGACATTGGGGGTGGCTCCTTGCCAAATGGTAATCTTGAATTTTCTCTTGGTGCGTTTGGCCCAAACTGACCTAGAAGACAAAAGATAAAACAACATTATTTAACTTAAAAGAAAGACACTGGATTAGACTTAAATTGACCAGTCCCACTCTTACCTCTCGGTTGATTTCCTCTATTGTTATGGTTCATTGGACCTCCAGATCGATTGTCACCACCTTCGTCTCTTGAAGCTGGGAAAGGGCCCCGTCCTGGAGAAGGGCGTTTATTAGGAATAGGGCCATTGGCTGCATTCATATTAGATTGACCGCCTCTTGTATCAGGCCCACCAGATGGAGTTTTCAGCAGTGCTTCCCTGGGTGGAGGTCCTTGTCGTGTCTCTCTAGGGCCATGTCCCAGCAAACTCGGTGTGTCTCGTGGACCTGCACCCAGTAAGCTTGGGCTGTCTCTATTATCTCTAGGACCAGGACCTAGCAAGCTGGGACTGTCTTTGGGACCAGATCGCAAAAGGTTGGGGTTGTCCCTTGGACCTGCACCAAGGAGGCTTGGAGTTTCTCGAGGACCAGCACCAAGCAAGCTTGAGCCTTCTTTTGGACCTGATCCAAAATGGCCGGAACTTTTCTCTTGGGGCCCTTTTCCAAAGAGAGTTGCACTGTTTTTAGGTCTATGTCCCAAGAAGTTAGGGCTCTCTTTAGGGCCTCGACCAAGGAGACTTGGGCTTTCCATTGGACCCTGTCCCAATAAGCTTGGGTTCTCTTTTGGTTCATGCCCCAACAAGCCCTCTCTGGGGCTATTACCATGTAACCTTCCACTATCTCTTGGTCCAGACATCGGTTTCGAACCAAGAAGACCTGGAGGTTTGTTCCCTCGAAAACCTTGGTTCTCTCTTGAACCAGCTGCCAACATGCCGGATCCATCATGGGGACTGAGCCCCAGCAAACTATTTCCTTCTCGTGGATTACATGCAAAATTTGGGCTGTCCCTTGGACCAGCACCCAGCAAACTATTTGGCTCTTTTGATCCACCAAAGTTGTGCCCATCTCTGGGATTTGATCCAGTTCCAAACTTAAACGCATCCCTAGAATTTTTTCCAGGTCCAAAATTAGGTCTCTCTCTCGAACTTGGTGATGGCCCAAAATGGGCTACATCTCTAGGACCTGATCCAAGTATACTAGATCCTTCTCTTGGACCAGATCCGAGTAGACTTTGGCCCTTTCTTGGAGAATCTCCCAGCAAACCAACCGAACCTTCTCTAGATTTTGGAGATGGTTTTGGTCCAGGACCCAACAAACTTGGGCTTTCAGATGCTTGTGAAATGTGTAGAGGGGATGAAGCATTTGAGTTTGTGTGTGTAGCTTGCGGGCCATCTCCAAGCAGACTGGGGCGACTACTTTCGACAGATGGATTGCTGTTGGGTGTGTCTTTGGAAGAGTTGCTAACGATACTTGATTCATCAAGTTCTTTGAAACTATCGAGTGAGACATCGTCTGTTTCTTCTGGCTTTACAGCACCATCAGAAGATTGAGTAGGAGTTGTACCACTTTTGTTTCCAGTGTCTTGTGATTTGTCTGAGTTATCATTGCTGTTGAGTTCTGTATTCGAAGCGAAGTTCTCCTTACCTTCTTGTGCCTCCTCTTTAACAGGTTCAGATTGAGTGGATGTCTTCGGATCTTGATCACTCTTCTTAGCTTCAGATTTATCGGCAGACTTGTCCAATTCCGTTGAAGTACTGGGGTTTTCCTTGCTTGTAATTTCTGAAGATTCACCCTTCTTATCTCGGTCTGGTGCACTGCCTGATTTTGATTCATCATTTTCTTGAGAGCAATTTGGCTCATTCTTTGGCTGGGTGCCCACACCACCCTTGTGGAAAGTGATACGTGGAGTATTCATGATTGCAGTTTTCTCCTCTGTGTCGCCACTTTGGTCAGGTGCTTCACAGTCCTCAGAATCAATTGGAGGGTTATCAGTTTCAAAGTCATCATCCTGATTGCGGAAACGTTCAGGCTCCTCAAACTCATCCTGATGATCATCACTCAGTTCATCCCAAGCTTCCGCACCATAATTTTCTTGATTTTGAGGATCTTCTTCATAATCTAGGTATTCATCTTCAAAGTTATCTTGGGGTCCATTATTAAAATTATTCATGGGCCCATCTCTAAAATTGTTTTGAGGCTCACCTCTAAAGTTACCTCTGGGCCCACACCTAAAATTTTTTGGAGGTCCTCCTCTGAAATTTTCTGGAGGTCCTATGTCATCTCCTGGTCGCCCTGTTAAATTGGGAGGACCTGGCCTAAATTTATCTGCAGGTCCACCTTTAAAACCTCTGAAGTTGTCTTTAGGAGCAAAATTAAAGTCTTTTCTAGGGCCGCCAGGCTTAAACACATCTTCGGATGCATCAAATTCATCTGAAGTAAAATCCATATTACGATTATCAGGGCGGAACCTACCTCCAGGTCCCCGGTTGTCTTCAGGCCTCATGTCATCATTGGGACCCATGAGGCTCCCCTGTGGTTTCCTTGAGTTATCAAAAGGTCCTCTAAAGTCATCCGATTTACCACCCGAGCTATCTCGAGGACCTCTTAAAGATTCGGGTGGTATGGCTAAAAAATCACCAGGTGGCCTTCTAAAGTCATCTTGTCTAAATTCACCTGGAGGACCTCTAAATTTATCTGGCGGACCTCTAAATTCATCAGGTGGTCCTCTGAATTCTTGCTCAAAATCATCAAAGGGGCGAGGTCCTCTGAAATCAGGTGGTCGTCCCAGAGGGCCTCTAAAGTCTGGATCACGTTCGTCAAACAGAGGTCCTCTCATATCTCGTAGATCACGTGGTCCACTGGAACAGAAAGAAAATATTATTTTAGGACAAGCTTGAAATATACCTAACTGGCATAAAAGCGTAATAATTATAGAAAAAAATTGTTATGAAAAAGAAAAGCCATAAAAATAATGAGGTTTAAGACAAGCAGTTTTCCGTATATTCCTAATTTTTTAAAAAAAATCTCGAACCATTGGAACTTAAAATAGACTTACGGTTCAAGCTTGCCAAACGGTCCCATCATATCTCTGAGGTCTGGGATGGGCCCTCTGCGGTCCCTGTCAGGAGGACCTCTCATTCCAGGTGGCCCTCTCATATCTGGACCCAGGAAGTCATCAGGGTGACCCCTGAAGTCATCAGGGGGGAATCCATCACGCGGGCCTCTGAAGTCATCGTGAGGCCTGCGGGGACCAAGGAATCCATCGCGAGGCCCCATGAGGTCGTCGGGCGGCCCCCTGAAGTTGTCGCGAGGACCTCTAAAGCCGTCTGGTGGGCCCGGGAAGTCATCCAGCGGGCCGCGGAAGTCATCTAATGGTCCTCGGAAGTCATCCGGTCGGCCGCGGAAGTTGGGTGGTAGACCGCGAAGGTCATCAGGATGATCGCGAAGTCCAGGTGGTCGACCTCTGAAGTCATCCGGAGGTCCTCGGAAGTCCCGAGGAGGACCACCGAAATCGGGCGGGCCTCTGAAGTCATCTGGGTGGCCTCTGAAGTCATCAGGATGGCCACGGAAGTCATCTGGGTGGCCTCTGAAGTCATCTGGATGGCCACGGAAGTCACCTGGATGGCCACGGAAGTCATCTGGGTGACGCCGGAAGTCGTCTGGATGGCCCCGGAAGTCATCAGGGTGGCCGCGGAAGTCATCTGGAGGGCCTCGTAAGCCATCTAAGGGTTCACGTAAACCATCTGGTCCTCGGAAATCACCTCTGAAACTGCCAGGAGGCCCGCGGAAATCGTCTGGCGTTCTGAGACCGGGCCCGTCCTTGTCTCGGGGCCCCGGTCCTCTCATCCCCGGACCGCCAGGGCCGCCAGGGCCACCAGGGCCACCAGGGCCGCCTGGACCCAGCATGTCGTCTCGAGGGCTGCTCATTTCATCGCGAGGACTTCTGAACGGGTCGCGTGGTCCTTGCAACTCGTCCTTCAATCCTTTCAGGGGCCCAGGAGTCGGGTCTTTGCCGTCCTTGGGCGGGCCGCCAAACGGATCACGCAGTCCGGGAGAATTCCTGGGAGAAGCAAAGTTATCAAGAGGTCCTCGCAGCAAGTCTTTAGGTCCACCAAATCTGTCGGGCCCGCCTTTAGCTCCGTCTGGACCCTTGAAGCCGCTCGGACCAGCCAGCAGGTCATCCATGGGTCTCTTCGACTTATCCATTGAGGGGCCTCCCAGGCCATCGGGAACTTTTGAATCACCTGGGCCACCTGGGCCTCTGAATGCGTCAGCCGAAGTCCTGTCGCCAGAACGGCCTCTGAATGGGCCATCTGGACCCTTGTCACCAGGCAGTCCTTTAAATGGGCCTTCTGGACCCCTGTCTCCAGAACGGCCTCTGAATGGGCCGTCAAGACCCCTGTCAACAGGAGGGCCTTTGAACGGACCTTCTGGGCCTAGGAATGGATCTGGACCCCTGTCACCAGAACGGCTCCTGAAAGGACCTTCTGGACCCTTGTCACCAGGGCGACCTCTGAAAGGCCCATCTGGACCCCTGTCATCAGGCCGTCCACCGAAAGGACCCGGTCCCTTGTCGAAAGGTCCCCTGAAGTCGTTTGGCGGTCCCCTGAAGTCGTTTGACGGTCCTCTGAAGTCATTCGGCGGTCCTCTGAAGTCACTTGGCGATCCTCTGAGGTCATCCAGCGGTCCTCTGAAGTCTTCTCTGAACCTGAAGTTTTCTCCCATGAGTGGCGGCGGGCCCTTCCTCGGGCCGTCCCCAAGGCGCATGTCGTCGAGGGGGCCTCTCTTGTCGTCGTTGCCGGGAAAGCCTCCTCGGAAGCCCGGCGAGTCGTCCCTCTTGGTGAGTCCTCTCGGGCCCTTGTCGTCGCCTCGGAAGCCCGGTGGGCCTGGAGGGCCAGGAGGACCCGGTGGGCCAGAAAGTCCAGAAGGGCCAGGGCCAAGGGGTGGCTTGTCAAACCCGTCGCGCGGCCCGCGCATGCCAGGGCCACCCGGACTCGAATCCCTGTCGAAAGGACCTCTCCTTGGTCCATCCCTGTCGCCGCCGGGTCCCCGGAAGTCGTTTCCAAAATCGGGCCCACCTCGTGGGCCGTCGCCCGGACCGCCACCAGGACCGCGACCAGGACCGCCACCAGGGCCGCCACCCGGACCGCCGCGGTCTGCTGACATTCTCCGCTTGGCCTCGGCGAGCAACTTGAGCGGGTCGTAAGCATCATTCGAGTCCTGCGGGCCTCGCTTCGAGTCCTGAGGGCCCCGCTTCGAGTCCTGAGACGGACCCCACTTGGAGTCCTGTGGCGCGCCCCACCTGGAATCCTGAGGGCCTCGTTGCGAGTCCTGAGGGCCCCACTTGGGCTCTTTCGGGCCCCATTTCGAGTCGTTTCTGGGCTCGTCGAACTTCCAGGGTTCGGGGCCGCCGTGTCTGCCGGCGTCGCGGCCTCCGAACGGCGGCTCGAAGCCGTGCTGAGAAGACGGGCCGCCCGCAGCGGCGGATGGGCCGTGGTTGGCGCCGTGGTTGGCGCCGTGGTTGGCGCCGTGGCCGTGGGAGAAGGGGTCGGCGCCCTGGGCGTGGTCGAAGCCGCCATGGTTGAAGCCGTGGTTGAGGTTGTGCTGGTCAGCAGGCTGGCCGGTGGCAGGCATCTGGTTCAAGTCGGGGTACGCGCCGTAGCCGTAGCCTTGGTTCCACGCGGCGGCTGGGTCCGTGGGGTAGGCCGACGGGAACCCTGGAAGAGCGCCCGCCACGCCGGCCGAGTTGAACAGCGAGTAGGCGGACGCAGCGGACGGCGCGGCCGACGCGAAGCCGGGCGGCGCGTTGACGGGGAGGGGAGGCCCGGCGCCGAACAGCGCCGCGTTGCCTCCGTCCTGCTTGCCCACAAGGTCCAGTCCGGGAATGCCGGCGCCCTGAGGCTTCTTGGCGGCCTGCTGTGGGAAATACCCCGTGTCGGGCGTCTTGAACTGGAGGGGCTTGTCCATGAGATCTTCTGGCGGCGGCGGCGGAGGGCCAGGAGGAAGCTGCAAACGAAAATTTTTTAAAGTAAAAATTGGCTGTACTTTATGGGCAGATAGACAATGGATGGAATTCTGGTCTCACCTTAGGCGGTGCTTCTGGTGGGGGTGGGGGTGGACCCTGACAAACAGAAAAGAAAAGGCACATTAAAACCATGACAATCCAGTTGAGAGACTGCCCCTCTTATTTATGACATGTATATGTTAATGGTACCTGAGGTAGTGGCGGCAGTGGTTGTGATGGAGGAGGTGGCTGGGTGGGAGGCTTGGCTGACTGTCCTTGAGTTTTTCCAGGGCTTTTACTTCTGCCAGGCCGCCCATCAGCACCAGTCTAGACCACAAGAAATATTTTTTTAAAAAGAGAAAATAAAAATAACAGCAATTTTAGAAACCTTGGCAGGTGTTAAATCAAACCCTACCTGTGAACCCTGGCGTTCACGTTTCTTTCTCATTACTTCTCGACGCTGAATAAGTTGTTCTCTCCAAGTAAACCACTTTTGTTCATACTGTTTGTACTGTTCCTAAAATCATACGGACAAGTTAATACTTCAAACTTTTGAGACATTATAATTTACTGGCAGCTATCCAGACAAATCTTACTTTGTTGGGGTGATTTTGGTTTTGCTTTTTCCAAGCCTGGAACTGCTCCTCCCAACGCTTAAATTGTTCATCAAAGGTCTTTTCATTTTCTGAAAGGCCCTCTTTCACATCTGGACCCTTCATTTGCTCCTGGCCAGCATTATTTTTTGATTTCTTGGCAAAGTCAGGACCTTGAGACTGTCTGTCAGATGAATGGGCTCTTTTCCCTAAGGACTCCTAAAAAAAAAAAAAACAAAGAAGTACATTATAATAAGTAAATTACAATGTGGTTTTTAATACATCTTTGTGTGACAGAAACTTGCCTCAGTGCGAGAGCTACCAGATGGACCTTGCATCTGACCAGAATTGTATTGTTGTGAATTCCTGGGCAATAAGAAAAGAGGGAATAAAGCAATGAAAACACTGTAGTTTTAGATGGCTGAATAGAAAAATTATCTTTAAGTGGATGGCCAGATGAGAGTTATCATCCACATGAGTTTCTTAGCGTTAAGTGTGACTCAATCAGAAAGTATTCAAAAATGACTGAGTTAATTTCATTGATGAAAGGCATAATACAACAGTAAGATATGAATGAAATGAAACTAACATAGGTGTGGGTGGTACAACCGGCTGAGCAGCTGCAGCAGCATTAGCATTCACAGACCCGTATGGAGCTGCTGCCGGATAGCCACCTGAAGGCACAGCAAGCCCGGCAGCCAAAGCAGCCTGGTACTGAAACAGGACCAAATACACAATGTTTATAAAAGGTTTAACACAACACAAACAGCCATTACCCAAGACAAAGGCCATTCAGATCAATTCACCTTTTCTCCATACTGTGCCTGCCATTGAGCATACTGTGTTTGCCATTGTTGCCACTGCTGCCAGTTCTCCTGTAAACAGTCGACGTCATCATGAGGTCTCAGGACACAAAATGGGAGGAGGGGGAGAGGAGGGAGAGACGGAACAGGACTTTACCTGACTACCATCAGGCCCTGGTGCAGCATTGGCGCCAGCATACATGTTATAATCTGCAGTGTTGGAGGAGGATCCCACTGCACCATGATTGAGAGGACCCGACGATTGTGTGCCTCCTCCTGAGAGCCACTGTTGGTTCCAATTATTTGCCATCTTGCAGGGGAACTGCGACAAAAAGTACCAATTAAAAGATCGCTCACACAGATCGAAGATTTGAACAATAGATATTACAATCTAGAAGTTTTGTAGTCTGTTTTGATAAAACAGATAATACAGTGCACCAGCACCGTGAAGCAGTCCTTACCTTGACAATGAGTCAACTCATCCTCCCACAAAATCCTGATGCAATACTGAAAAGGCAGGCATCTTCAATTTACCAAACAAGTACACTATCAAGCACATGCTGTCACAAACTATATCACATCTGCCTCTAGCACGACGGACATAGTTAAGACAGTACAAGTCCCATACCCAACTATGTGTACCTAGATACTGCTTCTTAACTTAAGAATTCAGTGAGGGTCTTTACTGTTTCACACGCAAGCTGAAGCACAAAGGCTGGACTCATTAAGAAAAAAAAACATCTGGACTCATTTTTCTGGTACGACCGTCGCAATTGAAAGCGTCTTTCTTGTCAAAAACACTCAAAACGCAAATTGAGAGCAAGTAAAAAATGTTAGGTTATACTACATGATTATTTGAATCTCGTAGTGGCAGAGTACTCTTATGTTTGACACTTCATCGTCAGTGAAGAGAGAAGAGTAGCACTGAATTCATGTAGGTACTTAAAAATTGTGTTATTTGCAAGTAAATTGAGAGCACAACTAACACCTTTCAAATAGTCGTCACCATAGCCTAAGATGTGGTGTTTTTTTCGTTTTGACTGAAAGGTGAGAGCACCATAGCGTTCCTCTCGCATGGAAGAATTTCACACACCTCGTCTTACATGTTGAAGTGTTAGCTACGATGAAGTCCAAGTAATGCAAACCATTTTTTCTTGAAATATAAACACTAAACACCACCAAAGCAATATGGAGATATCTTTTTGGCTCCGAACCGAATCGAAAGAACGTGGTACAGCGCCATCCAACGGTGGCCGGTCAAACTAGATGGACTCTTCGGAAACATAGCCAACTCACAAAAACAAAATTCGAAATGATAATGTTTACTTACAGGCAGTATGAACCTTAATGCATTTTATTTAAAAATATTTTGTTTTTAATTTAATTTTTGGTGTGTCTACCTGTTCAGTTTTAGGAATGAAAGCATTTGAAAGTCTTGTTTTTTGTTGGACCAGGATGGCTAAAGAAGGATCTTTTCTGAGTTCAAGGAGTCATGAGAATATTCTAGTTGAAAAGTTTCATGAGTTGTTGATGTCGTGTATCTTGAACACTGCAGCCGGTTATTTCCCGTTGCTTGGAGTATTTTAGTTTCCTGTCACAGTTTTGTCTGTATGACAGGCATTCCCCGAGGTATTTCTTATTTGAAACCCTGAGTTGTTCGTCTGTATGTGGCGTACTGGTATTTTATTTTGTTGTGATTGTGTTGCCAGTGTTGTTTCGCTCTTGTGCTTCCTGCGAATTTTATAGAGTTTATTGATGTTTTTGAATACTTTTGTCATGTCTGCTTTTTGTTTCGATCTGGTAGGTTATGGACAGTCAAGTTGTCGTGGACGGCTTGGTGCTGAGAGGTTCTGACAGTCAAGTAGCAGCGGGCCATCTGCTCGACATTGTCGAGAAGTCTTGGCGAGAGGACAAACTGCCTGATGATGACATTGCTGTGCCAATGACAGAGTTGCCTGACCCTGAGGCAGACAACGGTGACTCTACCCTGACCTTAAAAGAACAAGATCAAAAGTGGAAGGATCTTGCCCTGGGAAAACTGAACGATCAGCAAGAAGCTCTTTCAAACTGTAGGGTGCTTACAGTTTGCATTTGTTCTTTTGTAAAGTTTAGCGTCTTTACCTAAGCAACTGTTCTGTTACAGAATGGATTTCCAAGAGATTCCAGTCAAGTGCTTTGTTCCACTGTGTAATCAGAGAGTTCTTTCAAATCGGTCAGTATGCCAGTACTGTATGGAACAGTACTGTGGACAACATTTTCCACCTTTCAGTCATAACTGCTCTTCTGGTGCACACATCTTTCTTGTTGAGGTGAGATTCAATTCTTCTGAGTCAACTCATTTGATTTAATTTGTTGTGCTTATTTTGTCAACTACTAATTTATTACAGAGCCAAACTATAGAGCATTCCGCCCTTCTGCACATTCAGTCATATGCATGCTCGTCTGAAGGATGTCCTGAATATGGTCCAATGAAACTAGAATGTTGCAACTGCGGAAAGCATTTCTGCCAAAGTCATCATCGTCATGGCTGCCTTGACCCATTGAGAAAAGAATTGATGGCCAAGCGTGCCCAGCGTGAGACTTTGAGGCGTCATCATGAAGCCATTAAAGAATCGATCAACAATGTGGTATGTTTATTTTCTCTGTCCCAGTTTTTTCTTGTCCTTGACAACTTTAATTTTTAAATCTTCCTATTGTGTTTTAATGCCCTGAACTATTGTTTCAGGTTGAAGCTGCTATTGAGAAGCACTTGACTCGGCCTGGACCTAAGCTGGCGCTTGCCAGCCAGCTGAAGTTAATGAGGATGAAGCAACAAGCTGTAGGACATCAAAACATCCCTATGTCAAATCGTGCATATTTTCTTGTGCATTGGAAATCTGATGATGCACGAGGTCTAGATCGTAAAGCCATTTACGTTTCAAAGGAATGGGCAGTGGAACAAGTGACTAAAATGGTTGGGGAGCAATGTAACATATTTACGATGCCATGGTATACAAGTTGTAATGACCTGCGCCTCTTTTATATGGATGGACAACTGATCACCGAAAATTTAACCCTTCTTCTAAAAAATCTGATAACTGAAAAAAATCTTGTTGATGGGGAAAATATATTAATTGGTATCCTATAGGTTGCAAAATCTTTTGCTTATCTGTCAAAGAATCAATTCAACCCTTGCTTGTATTCTGCATTTATTCCTGTGCTTGTAATCAACTTTTAAGGATAATCTTGTACTCTTACTGTAATACTGATGATTGATAGTCAGTAAATAAAATACATCTTGAACTTGCTCATTTATCTTTCTTTCCCTCCGTTATTTTCACTTTTAGAAAAGTTGCTGAGGAGACAAACAAACAGCGGGGCGAGGAGCGTGCCAGACCGACGGCCTGGCCTGGTCCCTGGTCCGATTGACTAGTGCTCCTCGTAGGTCAGGCCTCCCCTCTGCATGTCTCCATGACGGGGCAGTCCAGATCTGTCCCTGATCCGTTCCTGACGACACGCGGTCAGAAGCGGCGGAGGCCGTCAGAAAAAGAGATAATCTGTCAGAACCCTAGAGGGTATCGTCAGATCCCTTTCTGAATGTCTTGTTCTCACCTTCGGACGGCAAATTTGGATGGAGACTTACACGCGGGAGCTGCCCAAGAGCTACATCACTTTCAACGGCCTGTCACACGACTTCGTTCATTCTACCCTTTTTTCTTGAAAACGGACTGACTGCCCTTGAGGCGACGGTGCCAAACCTTGCCCATATCGCCGCGATCATCACGAGAAGATTCATGGGCTGCTCCGGAGTGGCGCCAGGAGGGGGCGCCATAGCGGCCATGCTCCAGTCAGATATTAAATTAATGAAACTAGAAAAGACAGTCTTAGATGAGTGACACTTTTCAGGGGGCGGCTGCGTTGCGACGTTGCGACACGCGGCGTGGCCGTCAGCATCCTTGACGGCTGTCGGTCGGTGCAGTCCGACTCACTCCTGTCAATCGGGGTGGCGCCGGCGCCGACGAGCTCGATGCAGCGGACAATGTGTGCCCGGTGTGCCCTGCCCGGCCGGGCGCCAAACTGTGCCCGCCACACGCCGCGCCCGCGCGCCCTAAATGGCCACTCACGAATTAAAAGCCGCATTATGGGCCGCGCGGCAAATAAGCTGCGAGGGCGGCCGGCGTATGGCGGCGGGGAAGGCCTCGGCGCGGACGCGCGGACCTTGGACCTCTGCGTGGCGCAACATCGCTACGCACTGCAGGGCGTGCAGGGCGTCAAGCTGGCGGCATGGCCAGCCGCGTTAGACAATGTAGGGCTCGGCGTGTCCTTGGCCTTGGGGCCGCCGTGCCGGTGGCGGCAGACCGGCCTTGAACGGGCAGGCGCGGGTAGGCAACCGACCGCACTGCCCGCACGGCGCCTTGCGCAGCTTGCGCGAAATGCTGTCATCTGCGTGCATTCAGTAGCCGACGGGGACGTGCCAAGAGGCCCGGCGTGACGCCCTCCCCCCGCGTGCGGCGGGCGGCTTGTCACGCGCCGTCACACGTGTCGCTGTCGCCACGCACCGCGACCAGCATTAGTCACTCCGCGTTCTGCGCGGTGTCGGCCGTGTTGGCATGGGTGTTGGCGCCGCGGCTCACCTGCAGCAGGGAGGCGCCCTCCATTGTGGAGCGCGGCATCATGGTGGCATTGTCGGGATGGCGTCTTGCTCCGCTTTTATTTCGCGCGGATCGCACGGCCGAGCGGGGCGGGGCGGGGCGGGGCGGGGCGGGGCGGGGTGAGGCGAAGCGGGTACGCGACGAGGGAGTGGCCGCGGGGCACGGCAGGCATGTCGGTCGCCACCATCAGGAATCCCACGGTGCACGGTGGAGCACGGCGACGGCGGTGCGATTAAAATGTAGGGGAGCGGCGCCGCGGTGCGCCGCGGGAGTCGTTGGGGGTCTTTATTGGAGGCTGCGCGCTGCGCTCCAGCTGCCGAGCCGTCATCGTCCACACGCGCGGCCAGCCAATCAGGCTGCGTTTAGGCCCTTTGTCCCGCCGCAGGGACTGCAGGACGGCGCGGCGGCGCGGAAATGCCGTCGGTAAGCGGCGCGGCGAGCCAAGGACGCCGCCGTCATTTTTTCGGACGGCGCCGCGCATTACTTTTTGCCGGCGGGGGCGGCGCGAGGCGGCGCGGCGGTCCAGCGCCGCCAGGGTCTTTGGCGTCTTTAGGTCGAGGCGGGTCCGCTGTCCGCAGGGCGTCGTCGGCGTCCGCTAGGCCGGGCCGTGCTTCCCGTGTCCATGGCAGCCCTGTCCAATGCCCACTGCGACACGGCGCCGCGTGATGCGTAGGATTCAACCTTTTCCGTGTGGCTGCACAGCGCGGGGCGGGGCGGGGCCCAAGGCGCTGCACACCCACTACACCGCGCAGTCGGAACATAGAGCATGTGATTGCACTGCGCCCCGCCCCGCGCCGTCCGCGTTTTGTTTTTTCCCGCCACGCCCCCCTGGCCGCACCCACCTCGGCTACTTTAGAGGCTACTTCAGCTCGCGGTCGCGCCGCGTCTCCCGGCCGCCAAGAAGCCCCCCGCGCGCCACTGGCCGCTGCGCCGCTACGCGCTGCGATCGGCGGCGAGCCGTGCTGGCGGTGCTGGCTGCTGTTTGACGACAATGACGAGGTGGGGGTGGGGCCCTGGCCGGGGCCCTGGTCGCCGGTTGGGCCGGTCGGGCCGCGGCAGGGCGTGGGAAGACGCGCACAAGTGCATTCTTTGGTAATATACGCAGCTATTGCGTCGCGGCGATAGAACACACGGAGCCGAGCGGAGCGTGCGTCCTGGACTTTCAGTTGTTTCTGAGTCATTCCCCCCACCGCCCCGCGCGCCCTCGGATTGCTCGGGCAGGGGTCGGCCCAGATGGGCTTAGTGCACACGTCTGCTCGCAATAATTGCAGTCGCTCGGTCAGCGCTTGCTAAGGATAAGCTAAGGACACCCCGCCGGGCTGTCCTGCCGCCATTTTCACAACGACGATGACTTGGGGATAGGACCAGGGCGAGGCCGCCGTGCTGACACGCGGCACGCGCGTCGTGCAAGCCTCGGCGTGGCGGCGTGCTCGCGCCTTCCCCGCCCCGTGTTCCCCGCGAGCGATGCACAACGCCCACACGTGGCTGCGTTACTGCAAGGACTGCCCCTGCCCCCTCCCCAGCCGGGAAAGGCCGCGCTCCGTTTGGACATGCGTCCCGCCTGATTAGATTGAAAGGAGTCCGCGTCGTTGTCGTTCCTCGAAGAAAATGTAAGGCGGCGCGGCAGGGGCATTTGCGGGCCGCAGTGAGAACTTTTTTCAAGTTGTCATTTTTTTACGAAATCCTAACGTTATCCATGGCGACTAATGACCAGGCTCCACGCATACAGTGGGTAACCCTAGATTGTTTTGTCTTGTTCCTCCTCCACTGTCAAAGACCCGCGGTGGCGAGGGGCAACGCTCTCCGCCATAGCCCGGCCAGCGGCCAACCCCAGCCAATCCCGACGGCGGCGTCGCGACGCCCCCCTCCCCCTCCTCCGCGCGGGCCGTGTGGCGTCGCGTCGTCCCCATCCCTCCTCCTCCTCGCGGTGCGTCGCCGCGTCGCGGCGCGTCCAGCCCGGCGTCCACAGCGGCGTCCCGTCCAGGTCCAGGGCAGGGCGCGTCTTATAAAAGGCAAGGGTCGGCCGCGGCGTGGCTGAGTCCACTCTGAACCAGCAGCGAGCGAGCACGTGTGTGATCTAGTTCCCCATTCGCCACCCCCAGCCAACATGTCCAGCTCCAGACAGGTAGGTCCTTCCGAGTGTCGTCGTGTGCCGCGAGGGCCGCCAGTGGATTACGTGCACCCTTGCCGTCGAGGACCAACTTGTGAGAAGCCTGCTCGCCCCGTGCGTTTACAGTGTCAGTGAGTGTACTAGTTCCATGCACCCGAGAGTGTGGGTGCGTTTCGCATCATCGATGGCGCCACGCTGCGCCAGCAGTGGCCATCCCGGTCCTGCGGCAGGGAAGTCCTCGGCATCCGCATGGCTGTGGCTGCGATGAGCACCGGCCGTAACTACCCGAGCGCCAACGCGCCTTGTGGTCACCGCCCGCGAGGCGCGGGGCACCTAGAGTCACCCCGCCCGGCCTGGGCCTTCCCTGCGCGCCTTTACGGCGTCTTGCGTCCGTCCCGTCGCGGTGTGCGGTGCGGTCGACGCCACGCCACTGTTCATTGCTCATTGGCCAAACCCGGTGGCAGCGCGGTGCAAATGAGTTCGCCCCGCCGCGTTCGTCTTCTTGCTGCTTTCTCTTATGACGCCATCCACGCGAGCCCTCTTCGCACCGCCCTCTGTCTCTGTCCTCGCCGTGCCGCGCCGCACAGATAACCAGGTTGACATTGAGGATCGCGGCCCGCGGCGTGGAGGCCGTGCCGCAGGACTGCTGAGGCAACGCGGCAACGCTCTGGTTGCTGCAACCCCGCCCCGTCGGCCGTCCCTTGGGCTTTTTCTCGACCGCGTGCCGCGCCGCGTCTCGATTCCAAGATTACACGGCCACTTGGCGAGGCGCGTCGCGTCAGCGCTGACCGCGGCCAGCGCGCCGAATCTGACTCTCATCGGAGACGCGCTGCATCCCCGTGTCCTCCAGGCGGTGCTGCTGGCGGTGTCCGCGGCCCTGGGCGTCGCGCGGGCAGGCTACCTGAGCAGCGGCTACGGCGGCTTCGGTGGTATCAGCCCCGCCGCCCTCAACTACGCAGCCGCCCCGCTGTCGCCCCTCGCAGCGCCGTACCACGGCTCCGCGTACCACGCCGCCCCTGTCTACGCCGCGGGGCCGGCCGCCTACCACGGACCGGACTACTACGTGAGTATTTGTCAACTGAACCCCGAAAGGCAGACCCACGCCTCCCCACCTCAACCCGTTTTCTGTCTCCAGGCGCACCCCAAGTACGCCTTCAACTACGGCGTCAACGACCCGCACACCGGCGACCACAAGAGCCAGTGGGAGGAACGCGACGGCGACGTGGTCAAGGGCGAGTACTCCCTGGTGGAGCCCGACGGCAGCATCCGCACCGTGTCCTACACGGCCGACGGCCACAACGGCTTCAACGCCGTGGTCACCAAGTCGGGCAAGGCGGTGCACCCGCCCCCCGTCCACGCCCACTCCGCGCACGGCGCCGCCCTGCACGTCCCCGTGCCGCTGCCCCTGCAGCACTACGAGGCAGCGTACCCCGCCTACTAGCGCCAGCGACGCTGACGCCGTGCTCTCCATGTACCCCGTGAAGCACCCAGCCATGGGACGGACGAGCCCGCGCTGAGCGCATCCCATGCCTCCGGCCTGCAAGGCAGAACCACGTCCGGGCCCCGAGCCGGGCCGCCATGTGAAGAATCGACTGTCTCTAGACATTTTCTTGCCCTGCAGACCAGTCAGTGTGTGGGCGTCACGAACTGTCGCTCACTGACCGTCACTAGGAGAGTAGAAACTCCATAGGCTAAGTAAATTGTGTACAGTTTTATAATGAAAATAAAATAGCTCGAAGTGTCAATTGAAAAGGATAAATGGAGAAAGGCAACAGATGGTTTTCCAATTTTTATTAAGCAGATTAACTTCAGGCCTTGGTGGCCAGCCGCTTGTCTCTCTCCTCGGAGATGGTAAGCTTAACTCCCTTACCCTTGGGCAGGGATACGTAGGTCTTGGTGCCCTTACCAATGATGAAAACGTTGTTCAAACTGCAACAAGAAAGAAGCACTCATTACAAACGGTCAACTTCAAAATAGGCAGCCCTTTCAATGAACTTATTTGACAGATAATGAGTGTTCTCATCCTTGGGTAATGCTCAAGGTCCACTTAATATTGGCTCAACAAGCGACCGTAAGGAGAAAAATATTCTCGGCCATTTATTGACCCAAATAAGCAACAAGTGCTTGTTCAGGCTTCGATAAGGCCTACAATAGAAAACAGACTGGGAAGCAGACACAGAACATGCGATAATTGCTCTTGTCCTTGAAATGCTCAAAGGTCATAAATGACTGTCAGGAGGTGAGGTATAGGCAACCATTGACATGTGATAAGCAGTCATCCATCGCAAAATATGGTCTGGAGAAGACACATGCTAATGTGGTTGAAAATGAAACTGATATTGTATTCATCCTTGGGTAATGCTCAAGGTCCACAAAAATTCTGGCTCAACAAGCGACCGTAAGGAGAAAAATGTTCTAGGCCAGGTATTGACCTAAATAAGCAACAAGGGCTTATTCAGGCTTCGATAAGGCCTCTTGTGAAAACATTGGGCATAAGCTATGGTATATAGAACATGATGTAATAATTGATCTCTTCCTTAGGATGCTCAAATGACATTGTTCTCTTCCTTGAAATGCTCAAATGTCATAAATACACCAAGCGACTGTCAGAGGAGTTGTAGTGTGGGCCTCTTTAGATCCAAATGAGTGATAAGCACACATCCACTAATGAAAAGGGCCGTGTAAAAGAACTGGAAAGTACTGACCAAATATTGACAAACCCTACAAACACCCCAGATGGGTAGATGATGTAGAACAGCACAACAGTAGCATAGGCAAAGCTACTAGGTTCAATTAAATTCATCATAGATGTGACTTGATTTAGGTCAAGCTGCAAAGAAAGCTAGTTGGCAAAGAAATAACTTACCGTGTGGCAAAAACGTGACCCTGGGTATCCTTGATGTGAACAATGTCGAATGAACCAGGATGTCTCTCACGGTTGACAACAGTGCCGACACGCCCCAAGTTACGGCCTCCAGTGATCATGCACAAGTTACCTGTAACGAAAAATAAAGGCACATGAGCAACAATGCTTAAATGACCAATCTCCTCAGATGAGTAAGGTTTTTTTCATAAATTATCAAATAAATGTGCCTTAACTCAATCATCACAGGAAGACATACTTTAAAAGTAAGAACAGTTAGCTACAGGTAAATACACACCAGAATCAAAGCTGATGATATCCTGGATCTTGCAAGTGGCAATGTCCAGCTGGATTGTGTCGTTGACCTTGATGAGAGGGTCAGGGTACCTAATGGTGCGGCCGTCGTGGGTCACAAGGAAGGGGATTCCACGGGGTCCAACCTGGACACGCTTCACTTTGCAAAGCTTGTACTGAAAACAAAAGGACAATTAGAAAACATTGCCAATCAAATTGAGCCAATGCAACTAAATCCAACTTAATATTGAGATCATTACCTTAGCCTCATCAGCTGTAATGCGGTGGACGGTGAAACGGCCCTTCACATCATAGATCAGCCGGAAGTTCTCGTTTGTCTTCTCAATGGTGATGACATCTGAAACAGGATGCCAATAATATTAAGATCACTTAGGCACTAGAAAGACCCAAGACAAAAGAGGAACTACACTCGTATCAAGATAGGACTTTAGACAAATTCTGATATTAATGAATTTCACTCAAGTTCCACCTTACTTGATTGACTACATACTAGTACACACTATTAGAATGTGAGTGGTATGAAGCGGAATGGTTTTGAAAGATAAAATGGTTTGTATCACAGTTGGCTTGATACAGCCCTTGTAACCAACCAAGAACAGTATGACATGTGACATATGACATAAGTTTGATGGATCCTCAGAAGAAGAAACAAAAGCCATATTAAACGGCCTGCGAATTTTAGTAATCACGTCAGCCGTGCAGTGCAGTACAGAACCCAAGACCCCCTTCAGATGTTTGCCAAGCATGACATAATTTCATTTCAATGCTCGAGGAGTGCACCAAAAACAGAATGAGAATACTTTACATACTTGACAACTTACCCATAAATCCAGAAGGGAAGTTGGGGTCGGTCCTGACTTTGTTGTCAACCTTGATCAGACGCTGCATGACGATCTTCTTGACATCATTAGCTGTGAGGGCGTACTTGAGACGGTTCCTCAAGAAGACGACAAGGGGGAGAGACTCCCTCAACTTGTGGGGACCTGTGCTTGGTCGGGGTGCAAACACACCACCAAGCTTGTCTAACATCCATGACTTCGGCGCGTGAAGGCGCTTCAAGTGCTTCTTGGGTCCCCGCGCCTGTACAAACAATCGAAAAGGTGAGGAAATGATCACACTGACAAAGACCAGGACACACCAATAGGGCCAAGCACCAGTACACACTGAACCAAAACATAACCTATCGGTCTAACGATCGGAATAGGAGCAGCGTAAACAAACGGCAAGTAGGACACCGTGCATGATACCTATCAGACAACCGAAAACGGAGGAGCCAGAATAATCGTCAAGAAAATTCAGCCGCGTCGCAATACTAAATATTCAATGCACGTACCGGCCATGTGTGAAAGGCGGCATAACCTCAGTCAACACAGTGCAGCAGCGCAAAGTACTCAACCAGCCGATACTTAAATGAAGTCAGTTTAAAAGTGTCTAAATATAAAATTTTAACAGTTTAGAAAAATTTAGGTAAGAATAACAGCGAAGGCCTCAGCTTAAAGGACTGAGAACGTAGTACAACACGACGAGAGGCGGTATGAAGCTGACACGTCAAGATGAATACAGACGAGAAAGCCTCATGAATTTCAAGTATCGAGTATTTTCGTAAAGCATACCATTTTTGAACAACGTAATGGCAACTACTGGGGGATTTGAACTGAAGGAGATGTCCACAGATAAAATTCTCAAGGAACGGGACCACTCACCATTTTAGCGACTAAACACTTTAACCGGAAAGAGCCTCAAAGGTGAAGTCGGCTCCAAACGGAAACAATCGGGGTGTTCTTCAGGATCGGGTGGCTATGGGAGCCCTAGGTCATACGGCCACGGTTGTGGCGTGCCTTTGAGGGCGCACCTGGCTACAAGGCGGTGGCTGGAAATGGCGGGCAGGTTTCGAATCCTGGTATGAACCAGAATTACAAATGCCTTCGCCTTCGCCTCAGGAGAGTCATAAACAGCCTCGCCTGTAGAAACTGAACGTGTCCTCGATTGGAACACTAATTCAAGTTCGCTTGTGTCCTTAGTCACGCACTTCCAATATTAATGATCACTTTCGAAAGTGCACAGTGAGAGAGAGGGGTGAGGTAAGATTGTAATCAATCAATGAATTAAATGAAGAGCATTTTTAACAGTTTTGTTTTTATTTATTTCTTCCTCCTTTATCTGAGTAACTGTATACACTGATTTACTTTTACAAGGTAGAGAAAACAAAGACATATACATGAACTTAAAAAAAAGCAAAGAAGCATCAGAGTTGAACTAACTCATGGCAAAGAAAATGATAACAGCTTTTACAAGAAAGAATGCAAAAAGTACATCTTAACACAAAGGATTCTTAGGACCGAAACTTAAGTAAACCATTCTACCACTTTTTTAGGTACACAGAAAAAACAAATTTTTGAATGGTTTACGGAGTTAAAAGGAATTAACAAAATAATAAATTTTTACATCAGGACTCCAAAGAGCATTCATTGCATTTTATGGCCTTAAGTGAAAGACACATCTTTTGAATGAAAACCCCTTTTCCCAATGTGGACACTGCTTGGATCAAAGACCATAAAAACATCTACTAATGACAAAATAGTCTGATCTCAATATTTTCACCTGAATTATCAATACAATACATTACATTAATAACTTCCAAGATGCAGGACTTCATAAATTGGATTAATTCACAAACCAACACAAGAGAGGTACCAGAAAATTATCATCTTCTAAATTTACAGCGATGCAAATTCTGCCCTGTACCTAGCTCACTTAAAAAAAAAGGAAAAAAAGTTTGCTAGAACAAAGGCATAGAAAAGGTCTTAGAAGACAAGAGGACAATATTTAGTTTCATAAGATTCTTCATAACAAGCATCTAATAGTGGATCAATGGCTACTTGTTACAACAATATAGATTAGTCAGCTTGCAGTGGTATCTTGAAACAAAATTGAAAGCTCTAAAGATATGCTAAGGGACCATTACACATAAATTTCAATGAACAACAAAATTTTGTTCTCCAAATAATGGAAATAACAACAAAGAAACAAAAACAAACAATGGAAAAAAGAACATGTGTGATCCACCTATGACAGGTTTTAAAGCAAGTAGCACACTTACAAAAGGAGAAAATATTGAATCATAGGGACAAATATGAAACAATTGAGGTTTTTTAATCAGATAATGTGCAGATCTAATACTTTCTTTGTTGATCAATATGAAATTTAATCTAAAAAAGTTACATCAAACACAAGAAGATCCACAAAACTCGGGTGAAAATCTCCATAAGTTGGTAACACAAGACTTTAAGGTCATCTCATTCATTTTGGATGAAATGGTTTGAAACCCAGTGTTCAAACTCATCATTAGATCTGCTCTTTACCTCCACTCACATTCCAGTATCGTCAAACCAGTAACAATATTAATATAAAACAAGTATGAACTGGCAAAAACGCGTACATGACACCTTTTTCACAAACATTAATATGGAATTAAGGCAACACCTCTAACTCCAATACGTAAGGCAGCCATGGAAAATAGCCAACCACCACCAACCAAGGCTACAGAAAATACCCCTCATCATTTACAAGAGTGTTCACATGTTTGAAACCTGACCAATTAAAACACCTGTCAATTATTGGAAAATACTATCTCACTAAGCATCACTCCTTAGAACTAAGAAGAACATTCAAAACGAGATAGAGAGAAATCTTTTACCAAATTACATGTCAGTTAAAAAAAGCCACAGATACAAAAGACTTAAAACGGGATTTCAAGACACATCGACACTTCAATGTGAAAAACAAAACCAAATGTAGGACTTCAGTTTTTGTAAACTGACTGACATCCAGGATATTTTTTTAAAACCATACTCCTCATTTGAAGACAACATAACAGAGAGGACATAAACAGTCCTCATTCCGTCTGTTGAAATGCAAAGTGCTTGCAATCTAAATACATTTTATACTTTCACAAAAAAAATTTAGGTACATGTTTAAGCACAAAGGCTTTTTTCTTTTTTTAATTATTCATTGGTACTGCTGAGCATATGTTTGATGAGACTGCGATACAAAAAAACAAATTGGATCATGAGAAAAGGCATGCCATGTTCATTACATATAGAAACAAGTATAAAAGAAAACATAAAAAATCATACATTGAGAAGAAAAAAAAATGGACCTTGACCCTGATATATAGTGAGTTCCAATGACAGTAACTCCATGAAATTAAAGAATATTAACAATTGGGAGGTTACATAAGTAACGTAAGGCAGATGAGTATTCATCTTCTCATTTGAATACCCAAAATACCATTTATGAGACCCAACATTCCCAGTTTACATGACTAAATGAGCAAAGTCATGGTATGACAAGTTGATGTTAGCTCCAGGCATAACTCTCATAAGAAGTCTTGGTATTGTGAAGTTTTGTTCGTGGAGTTCAAACCACTTGTGCAAAATGCAAAGATGTATTAAATTATCAATAATTCTTTTCCTCATAAACTTCAATTGAATTGTATTTGGCAAATACATACACCTCCCTAAAAGATGTGCCAATTCTCCCTGCTATTCACGTTTTGGTAAAAATAATGGTGAATAGCTTTAATGTAAAATAACTCATTACAAGATTCTAACATAGATATACCTATAACTATCTATCCATCTATACGAAAGTAAATATATGAATACATATACATGTATATATATGTATGTTTATGTATTTAAAAAAAACAACAAAAAAAAAAACAAATTTGCCACATACACATGCTGTACAGAACTCATCCTAGGTGAGTTCCAGAAGAACAGTGTAAAACACATTTGTTTCATAACTTAAAGAACAAGCATTCGTGTTATATTTTCAGGGCTCAGCTTCTTTAAACATCTACCAAAAACTACAAATATTGCTATGACAAAGTAAAGAAAGACAAGGTAAAACAAAGTGTATAGGCTGACCTACATAGAAGAGAAGATATCACCATAAAGAGCAATGGTAACCAGCCACTTGTAAAGAACAAAAATGCCAATACCACTTCAATTTTGAAGAACAGAACAATTCTGACTCAGGTGATAAGAGCAGCCTTATTGTAAAAGTAGTTGATAATAAGATAATTACCTACCTATGAAAAGAAGGGAAGTCTTAATATATGAACGTACGTATATATACACACATACATATATGTACAGGCACTTTTCTTGCACTTTTATTCACAAAATTTAACAAATTGTATCAAAAATATTTTCAATTTCATTTTTAAAAAAGCTATTGCTAAAGTAAGGAAAAGGCCCAATATGCAGCCAGAATACACAAAGAAAGACCAACAAGTTTGGGAAACCCTAACCATAGCTTAACTAATTCACCAGAGTTTTAAAAATTCCATTCAGGATGGTTACCAATGACCTTGAAATTTTAATCATTTGTTTACGTACAATGGTACGTTGCAACAAATACTCTCAGAAATAAATGTTGGGGGGAAAACACACCATTCAATTGAACATCATGGAGCCACACTACACTGATGCAGCCTTCAGATTCATCTTGGCTGAGAGCATCAGAAAAGTGATTCAAGGTACTTATCCTTCATAGAAAACTTAACTATATGAGTAACAAGTACCATACAAAACAAGGGGAAAAGGACAACACTTACACCATATGATCAAGTTTACAGAGGATGACCAAGTACAGACTGTCAAATTCACATCAATGTTCTTTGTAAATGTGAAGCTACATATAAACAATGAAGCGAATATGAAATTAAAACAATTGACACTATTGGCAGTTTGCTGGGTGGCAACATAGTTTTAAAATGATATCCATCCCAGAAACACGGGCAATGCTAAATTGAATTCTGGTTTCTTTAGAACCCATTAGTGAAGCACCCAGTAGTCAAGGAAGGCCAAACAAAAACAAAGACAACCCTGTTACCAATATGAAGGCATGCAATGATAAGGCAAAATAAATAAGGAGTTGTATGCCTACTAGTTAGTCACCCTCTGATTTGTATTTATGTTCGTTCATCATTGAACTTCATGCCCTGCTTAAAACATATTCAAGGATAATAAACCAACAACATTCATATTTGGTGACAAGTTTTGAGAGTAATGGGTCAAATATGCACACTGTAAGTTTACACAACAACCGACTGTGATGCAAATTGTATACCAATACTGTTCACCATGTCAGAAAAATTAGACACAACGAGTCTTGGTTGTGATTAATTCAATCGATTCCCATGAGTATTGCTATGGTGAAGTGGTCAGAGTTATATACAAATTCTTGTCTAAAGGCACAGAATCAAAATAAATTAATTTCAATCCATGTCAAATTCTTCATTTAACCTTTTCACATCCCTGAAAAATAAATTTGGTAAGTCAATTAAATTTTACAATACAGTTACATTGAGGTCTAAAGTTAAGCAGAGAGAGTTAGCAAACCTTGCTTCTAATATGGGGAAGAGGTCTTGCCGATCGAGAAGACCAAGAACAAGACGAAGAGTTGACCAAATTGAATCAGACATGACTGCATTCATGGGAGAAACCCGCTCTCCCTTAGCATCTCGGCCAGCGGATTGTTGGTTAAGAGCTGTGAGCAGGTGCTCTGCAGCTTCCCTTTATGGTTGAAAGACAAGCAAACAAAGAAATAAGGTGATGGCTTAAATAAAAAGAAATTAACAAAAAATAACCTATTTCAATACCTGTGAGCTCCAAGGTTGACACAAGTGATGCCAAGGTTGTATCGTGCTCTTATAAACCCAGGGAAAAGATGCAGTGCATTGTGATAAGCATCCACTGCTTCTTCTGAGCGATTACCATTAGCTAATGTAGCACCAAGACGGTTCCACATTCGAAAATCCTGAAAATAAAGAGGGGAAAAAGAAATAATGAGTATCTTTCAAAGTTATTCAACAAATGAATAAAGATGAGATCCTCAAAACAAATGTCTTACATCTTGGCGAACTTCCAGTGCAGCTTTGAAACAGTCAACAGCTTTATTGTATTCTGAGGACAGGTTGAAAAGTACACCCAACCCACACTGGACATCTGGATCAATTGTACCAGATGGATTTCTTCTCGCTGCTTTGATGTACAAGTCACGAACATTCTGGTGAATGCCACTGGAAATGACCAAAATGATTGAATTAGGACATACAGTACAGTTTTGAAAGTTTACATTAACATTCAAGTAATGGTCTGGAAAGTTGCAAAACTTACTCTGGCATCAAAGAAGAAATTGCTCCAAGTGTACGGGAAAAATTACTTGAATCGTCAGTTATTAAGTCACTATATTTTGGGTTTACTTTCAGCCACTCCTGTAAGACCAACAACGATTTAGAGGTAAAACTATGACAAACATCTGTAAAACATCAATTAAAGATGAACTTGCCTTGAGTGCATGGCAAGCCTGGTTTTGGTAGTTTTCGTTTGTGAAGCTAACAGCAAGACCCATAAGTGCTGTCATGTTTTTGGGATCCAGAGCAAGACATTTTCTTAATGCAGCTATTGCAAGTGGATCCTGTACAGAGTTCAATCATCGTTAGCAAGTTGAAAACAAGATAGAAACAAACAACTAGAAAGAGGGATGCACCCATATATTCTTTTACCTGCTCATTTTCAGCCTGAGAGGTGCCTAAATATTGCCAAGCAAGAGAATTTTCTGGAGTTGCCTGGCATGCTGATTCAAAACAGAGCACAGCAGAAGGAATATCGCCCTGTTCTAGACGTCGCTTTCCTTCTTCAAATGGGTCTTCAATATCTTGCATCGGGTTTGTAGTTTCAAACTTGTACTCCTATAAACCAAACAGAAAGTGGGGTTGGGGGAATGGAGGAAGGGAAATAGGACATGACAGAGATGAGCTTAGTGCGAAGTGATGAAACAGTCCCTATATGCCCTTGGCTACAAAATTGCAACACATTAGAAAAATGAAAACCCGTACGGGAGAAAAAAAAAAGGAAACACAGGACAAAAAAAATATTAAAAACACATGCAGGCAAAATTCATATCAGTACAGTTCATCAAAATGCAAGACCAGCTTGTAAATGTTAGATGTTTCAGACTTTCACGCGAGAGCAAAATTGCACTACTACAACCATCAACCCTCTCAAAGAGGTCCTGTCACAGCATAACAGTACATTAGGACCATTTACCTTTGCGTTGTATGCCTGGCAGTATATAGAGGCCAAGACAATAAATACCAAAACAAGGCAATCCAGAAGTACAAAAAAGACCATGCAAGACCAAAATTCAAACACAAAGACACAAGGCAATAGGGTTAGGAAGGGAGTCAAAAGTAAATCATAAAGCAAAAAGAAGATAGCCAAAAACAAAAAATAAAGGTTAATATTGAGATGTGAGAAGCAGATTAAGAAGGAATGTGTTAATGTACCCATTAGAGGAACAGGAAGCAAATGGATGTTAAAAGATAATAACAAATAAAAGGCCGAAGGAAGTAATGCAAGGGAAGAGGGACAAAAGTTTTAGTTAGACTGTGTCCAGATCAATTAAACTTTATTCCAAGCCTAAACAAAAATTGGAAGGAGAATTTCTGCTTTTAAAACTTAGGCAAGGACCAACAACTTTTTTTTTTGTCCATTGCAATGTTAGTAGTGCAATTTTGACACATAATGTAATAACATTATGGGAGATGTAGTAAGTCATAGATAGCAAGAACTACTGAACTAACTGAAGAACAGGAAAGGGAGAAATTTAAAGCAGAAATATTGATGCCCTACATGGTTTTATAACATTAATTTAAGTACAATTGTCTGTTTTCATACCTTGAATGGATCCGAATAGTCGCTAAATTCACTTAGCCAGTCATGGTCTTGTTCCATTTTACTCCACTGTTCTTGAAGTTTATCCCAAAATCGATTTGTCACATCATCCATTGCACCTTCAGAGCCACTTTCTAGTTTAGCTGAACTTTCCCGGCCGACCGCTAAAAAGATAAGGTAGATGATATTTCTTTCACAAGATACTGCACAGGTACAAAACAGAAGTCCAAGAAGCTTACCACCAAATTTCTTGCCAAATTCTTCCTCCCAAGATGATGACTTCCCAGAACCAGATGCAAAATCTTCTCCAGCCCAGTTATCAGCAAATTCGCGGGCCCAAGCCCCTGCTATAGCACCAGCACCTGGTGCACTAGAGGCATTTTCTTCTTTCCCAGAGCTGAGAGTAGCTTCACCATCGCCAACTTGGCGCATGAACTTCATGAACTATTTTCAGACAAGTAAAAGATATTATGAGAAGAGATTCAATGTGTGTAATACATCGGGTACAGCATAGGAAAGCATACTTTTGAGTTAGCAAACTTGGCATCGTCAACAGCATTTACAAGCTCTGTTGCCTTTTGCCTTGCAGTTACATCTTCAGCATCATCAGTTCCAACATTTTTCTGGGTCAGCTCAGCAATCCACTTTTCAGCATCCACAAGAGATAGATCCTCTGCAGTAGCACCTTCTTTCCTGTTATTGTGGCAAAGGATTAATGATAGCCCCCATTGTAATTTAACAATAAACATACAGCTGCAGAAGATATCATCACTTACAAATCGTTAGATTCGAGATAATCCTGAGCCCACTTTGGGCCGAAGCCGAGTTCAGATAATCCACCAGTGCCACCATCACGTTCTGCGCCAATTGGGAGCAGACTGCTGGTGCTACTTCCATCAACAGACCAAATATTTCCGGAGCTGCCTGGCGCATCCTTAAGGCAAAAATAAATATTTCATTACCTACTGTACAGTTTTTAAATTTATAATCTACAAATAAAATAAATGAATCATACTTCAAAATGTTTGCCAGCGTCAAGGAACTGCTGAGCCCACTCATGAGGATTGCAGCTGGGATCCACTGCAAGTTGAGCTACTCCAGGTGAAGGTCGAGGTGCAAGGCCACTTTGTTCCATCTCTCGCATCTCTTGGAGCAGTGAGTCCATACGAAATGTCTGGGGAGATGCTCCCAGGGTTTCTTCCAAAAACTGCTGCACAAGCTAAAAACCAAAAGAATTGGTATCAATTAACACAGACAGTTTGGTGCCATTGAGTAAGTTAACAAATAAATAAAGCAAAGAATCCTTACTTGATCAGAGTCACCAAATGGTTCTCCATGATGAGGAAAAGGTCTGTGTCGAAGTCCTTCATCTTTTAGGGCGTGATCACTTGTGAAATGTGATGTTAAGCGAACCAGCGAATTAGATCCCCCACACTCAGCTTCTACTAAATCACGTAGAGCCATGGCTGAGGCAGCCGCTGCTATAGCAGCTGGATGTCCTGAAAATCATAAATAAAATGACAAAAATGTATTGTATTAATTTTATACAAAGGAATTTTTTGGTGAAACTTGTAAGTTGACAGGGAAAAGAGTGGGGAAAAGCAAAGAAATCTTGAATGGAGGAATTCATGTCTTTACCCTAAGGTATATATAATGAATGAAGAGTTAAAAATTAGACCATGTATTGCACAATAGGAACTTATATGGTTTTGCTGTGGGAATCCTAAACAAATTCAAGGAAATCAGGAGAATTATTCATGTCCTCCAAAGAAGTCTTGCAAAAGTGACCTTTGGCCTCAGGAAAAAAAGAAGCTTGGTTTGAATCCAATGAATAAGTGTCTGTATTTCACACACTTTCCTGCATCCCAAACGAACAAAACCACAATGACTAGAGTAAAATTTTGACTATAGCCCATTGGTTTTTCCAGGCAAAGAAAGCTGCCTAAGGCTCATGGTTCGTGGTTGAGTTTGAAACAAGCTACAATGAGTTCAGACAAAAGAATGTAAAAAAAAACTGTCAGAAAATCGGCAATTTTTGTTAACTAACTGTAATAAAATGAAAACTGAGCAATGCACTAATGCTAAGAAATACTTTTGGAATAGACTTCCATGACCAGAAAGTCAAGTTCCCAAGGGTTATACAGAAAATGAATGACCAAAGCTTTTCTCTGACAATTACCTCAATAGTGTGCATGACAAGTCAAAAATCAAAATTGAAACTCTTAACAACCATTCTCGATTCTAGGTAACTCTGAAACAAACTCCAGACTGCTTAATCATGCTCCTTATCTGACATTGATGAAGGAGTGTATCCCAGTTGTTTTGCCGAACGTAAGAGCACAAATCAGACAGGAAACTAAGCGTCACAAACTGAAAGTCATATGCAGGTATATTATAGATGTAGTCAGGAGTTCAATTGTGCAGGAATAGGCACAATTCGTTTGCCAAAACAAATATGACACTAAAATGTTGTCATGTACGGTGGGGGCTAGGCTAAGAGGGACGTGCCCTTAGTTCGCAAAACAGACAGGTTGAGCCAGATACTCTCTAACAGTGACTGCTGAAAGATTGTGAAATAACTTACGTTCCCTGGCTTTCACTTAACAGCGGGAGCCCACTTGAAGGCAAAAATCGTATATTAGGTCACAACTCATTCACTAGACACTAGGATGAGAGCAGACATTGTTAATTTGGGCACTTTCCAAAAATACAGCTAAGATCTTTTGTGTCCTGGCTGTACAGTGGGCACGCTAACCGGAAACAGCCCATTCGGCCGACCGAGGCGCGGGCCCCGAGGAAACTTGAATGGTTCATTCAAAGAAGAACGGAAGGAAAGCTGCATGAAACTGTTTTATTCCAAGTTTCGGATCCTGTAAGTAGATTTGTTTGCGACAGGGACGGGGTGGACGGGGGTGCGGCTTGGACGCGGTGCCGTTGCTTAGACGTGTCGCAGAGATAACTTTCTTTTTCCGGATCGTGTATCTGCCTCAAGTGTCAATGTTTTCCTTTTCGGGTCGCTGTACGCCGCTCACCGAATGTTTACTTTCCCTTACTGCTTGCTCCTTAAATCTTCTTAGGTGATAGCTGTTTCCTAGTAAACTTGTAAGTAGCGTGAAATCCTTAGAATACGAAACTTTCCCGCGATTAAGGTATCTTATGTAAGTTTCACGATTGTCATCATTCCTTCTCTTCTCCACGGTGTTTCAAGGTTATGTGTAGTGGTGAAGTGTGGGATCAGTGACCATAGTTTATGAAAGGATGCCTCTCTTTCGAAGAGTTGTCTATTACATTTCTTTGATACTTATTGAAGCTGCACTTAACCTTTTTTAGCATCTATCTATTTACCATATATAACATGACAGTAATTATATTATTATTTAAATTTATTTTTTCAGATCGACATGTCCAACGAAAAAGATGAGAAGACATCAAAGGCGACAGCTGGCTCTTCAAAAGCTGAGAGTTCTTCTAGATCTTCAAACTCATTAGTTAGATTGCCCTCTTTCCGCCAGCCTCGAGATTTAACTCTTGGCTCTGGGAATGTGTCAAGAGGAGGGGCCTTCAGCCTTGGTGCCAATAAAACACGTAAAGTCTATGCGCCCAATATTAATGTGCAGCGAAAAGTAAAGGAGTAAGGATTCTTGCTTACAAATTTGCCTGACTGATAATTCTCCTTTGTTTGAGTGTTATTTACTATTGTTATTTTTTTTTCTCCAGGGAAGTTAATGTCAAAGAAGAGGTACCAAAACAAAAAGAACGTGGAAAGGGCAGAGGGGAGCGAGGTAGAAGTGAACGTGGTCGGGGAAGAACTGCCCCAAATGTCATCCAGGTTAGCTTTACTTTGAAACCAGTAGTGTGAGAACTACTGGAGAGGAATTTTATCTTGATGATAATTTGTGTTTCAGCTTTCAAGTGGAGTCTTTTCAGAGGGTATAGCTGCTTCTAAACAACGACCTGGAGGACGAAGCAAGCAAGATGAAGGGGGCTCTAGTTATATTCCTAAACCAAAATTAGATCTAAAGGTTATTTTATTTCCATTCTGTCCCATAATTTACTTATATTAAATGGCGTGAGATACTAAATGTTTTTTCTTTCCAGCAAAACTATGCAACTGATAATAAAGAAGAAAATGAACGTCTGAGGCAGCTTCTACAGGATGATTTTGTTGATGATCCAGATGCTGGGGGAGATGGAATGAAACCTCTCCAACTTCCCATGATTCCTATGAAAAAGAAAGGAGGACTAAAAAATAGTAAGCTGGTACATTTTTCTATAAGCTGGTTGTGAACTTCTAGTGGTCAAACTTTAATGCTTGGCTAATTTTAACTGAATTTCAAGCCTTGCACCACTGTCTTATTTATTGTATTTTGTTTTTTCTTCTTCCCGCAACCTCTATAGCATTCACAAATTTTGTTTGCTTTTTCTCAGCCTTTTAGCCAAGCTCACCTACTTTCAAACACACTTTCAAGTTTCTTTGGTTTAAGCAATAGCTTTAATCGCATGGAAGCCTTGCTAGTTTATTATCTCTCCTCTAGAACCTGTAAAGCATGTACATAGTTACAGATAAATCTTTTTCTTAGCAAGTGTTGCTGAAAGAGGCATGAGTTTCAGGTGTACCAGCAATTAAAAAAGAGAAAAATGATCCAGATTTGCCAGGGACTTCATTGCCAGATAATGCATCTGATGTCAAGAGTGAGTGTCCCTCCCTTTAACAAGCATAACTCATAATTTTTCAATGAGGTACAGTTTGCATGACCTGAACCATGCTACATGCATTTTGGCCTCTTTCTTAATTCATTTCATGTGTTTAACTACTCAATGATTGATTCATTGTATTTTAATTTTGTAAAATGGTTGTCAGAAGTGGTGCTGAAGAATTGGGTTTTGTCCCTCTCTCTCATACACTATAACTGACCCACAGTTACTAAATAATGATGGGTAAGACCTTTTTCTCAACTATTTTAAATATTGCAGGGCATTTTGTGCCCCCCTTTAACAAATCTCACTTTTTAATTTATTTTTTTTCATCTCATGCACAGTAGTTAGACTAAGCATGTTGAAGCTTGTTGCATGCATTTATCACTGCCGTCGTATTATTGTGAAATGAAGGAAGCAAATTCATTTGTCTCCTCACAAGTTTTGAAATGAGCTGACTTTGTCTTTTTTGCTTTGTAACAGTCAAAAGGGAACCTGGTGAAGATGATGGAGAGGATTTTAAACCAATGTCTGCTGATGAAGGTCACATAGTATTTGAGCGTCGTGTTGGAGAGTTATTAAACAGCCGAGAGTCAGAGTATATTTTAGTTCAGGTAAGTCAAAGTCTCTATTTTCAGTTAAAAACTATCACACCTTTGCTTTTGGAACCTTTGAACTCATTGCTAAGGATTGTATTTTAATCTTATAGCTACCTGACTGTTTGCCTGGATTAAGACCGTCAGTCGAACCAGATGGAAGCAAGAACATCAATGGAGCACCATCTGGAGCGCAAGGAGACACCAGCCCAAACCCACAGGTAGATAAATTGTGCTTGAAACCATCTTTCCCTTAATTTCTTATTTTAGTTTGTAAACCAATCATGTGATCCCTTCTGTTTTAGTGTACACTCTCCTCAATACCTGAGGGCTCTATTGGCAAAATTCAGCTCATGAGATCAGGACGAGCTTTTTTGAAGTTGGGTTCAGTCTCCCTGCCATTGTCTATGGGCACGCAAGTTGGATTCAAACAGGTGCGTTACTTTTCTTTAAACTCACATGTATTGCGCATAAAAATTGACATGTATTAATTCCTGACTTTATTTTTATGTTCAGGACCTCATATCAGTCAAGTTGGATGACCAAGAAAAGGGTGGGAAGATGATTAATTTAGGTCAAGTTAGAGCACGTGTGGTTTTAACTCCTGATTGGGAAGCACTATTGCGAAAGGCATGAAAAGAAGCTGCTTCCTCTGGAAACACTTTGTAATTGACAAAGAGTGGTTCGATCTCAAAAGTTATAAAGAGCAATTGGTGTTAAAAAGATAGTAAGCAACATATTTCCTGAAGCTTCCAAAAATGAATTTCCGTGTCTGATGTGTAATTTTTAAAAAAATCTATGTAGTTTTGAGATAAATCCTTTTTTGTATTTACTAATATCTACATACCTGTTTACTTACAGTTTATTGATACTGTAACAACATTTAAGACCAGGTGTGATGTACTGTATTTTTTGTAAATTATCTTACAACCTGTTCAAGTTTGTTTGTATTTTTATTTATTTTTGCTCTATTTTTATCTAAGCGCCGGGGTGATCTAAATAGTTTGGCTCATTTTTTTGTTGTTCTTGCTGTGATGTGGAAGTCTTCAAACTACTCTAATATAATTGATAAATAAGTTGTTATTGTTGGTCTTTATTATGAAAACTTTTCAACAGAAAACTTTGGCTGGCAGCCTGGTCAGAGCCATTTAAGTTAACTGAAATAAAGGAATCTGTCGAACATGACTTGTGCATTTCTTCGATTGTTGACCCTTCTCGCACCTCATCATCAAGATGATCATCTTGGGCCGGAATCTCGGTTTCCACGAACATGTTATCGGCGTGCTGGGGCCCGGCCTCTTGCTGGCGCGTGGGGGCGCCTCGTCTTCCTCTTTCGGGTGTGGAGAGTTCGCCTACGGAGTCGCCTACAAACGTCAGCACCGCCTCGTCCTCGAAGCTCCCTCGCGCATCGCTGTGAAGGAAGGGGTTCCTCGAAGCCAGTGGAGACGGGTGCAGTTCGCCCTGTTCGCCCTGCGTGCCGTCGTCCTCCCAGGAGCTGTTGCTGGGGTGGAAGGGGTTGGTCGGGTGCCAGCCCTGGTGCCACCGCGCCGGCTCGGCCGAGTCCGCACAGGGCAGGCGCGTGTCCACGACGTCCTTGCGCTGGGGTGACGGCGGTAGCGACGGGTGGTGCACGTCGGGGTCGCTAGGCCAGGTCACCCAGTGCCAGTCCCCGTTGTCGTCGCCCCCACGGCCGCGCGCCGCCGCCCTGGCGGTCCTGGTGGAGGCGATGGTGACGCGGTCCGCGTCAGCGCCATCAGCCTCCCTCTGGTAGCGAACGCGCGTCGCAGCGGGGCGGTCAGGCCAAGGGTCAGGCTCGGCGTCGGGGAGGTCGGGAAGGTCCGGGAGGTCCCAGCAGTCCGTGAGGTCCGGGTTGACGAGCCGCTGCCGCCCCGAGTCCGCGCGGCTGGAGAGGCCGACGAGGGCCATGAGGGAGCCCCCCGCGGCGCGGTGGCGCAGCAAGAGCGCGCCGGCCAGCAGCACCAGCAGCAGCGTTACGACCACGACGGCGGCCGTGGTCTTGGGACTGACGGTGTCCTCGGCTGGCGCCGCGGTCGCGCTTTCGCCGGCACTTCCGCCGCCCTCCGCGGCCGTGCGCACCTTGACGTCGACCCAGCCCCCAAGCCCCGCCAGCGAGACGGCGCGCACCTGCACCGCGTAACGCTCTGCGTCCGGGCCCGGCGGGCTGCGGTGCGCGCTGTGGTCGGGGAACATGGACTTGAGGAGGATCTGGACGGTGCCTTTCTTTTGCAGGTAGCTTTGCCGGGTGATGCACTGGCGAAGGAGCGACGCATAAAAGAACGCAAACACTTATGGGCAAACTTCCGAAACGAAGAAAGATGAATACTGCACCTTCTCGTCGGCCTCGTAGCGGTGCCTGTCGCGGTAGCGGACGTGGTACGCCAGCACCAAGCCGTTGGGGCGCGGCGGCTCGGCCCAGGACACGTGCAGCACGTCGCCCTCCAGGGTGCTCTCCAGGGTGCCGTTGGGCGCCACCACCAGGTCCACGTCGGGCGCGGGCAGGGTGCGCGCCGCGGCCAGGGCGGGGGCGCCACACAGCGTGGCCAGCGGCGAGGCGCCGTTACCGGGGTCGTCGGAGTCCTGCGGCAGCGGACCGAATGCAGACGCGTTAGAGTCTGCAGCGAGGGATTGGAGGGATTGGTCTGGAAGAGTGAAAGGCGGCGCCCACCTCATGACCGCACGCGTGGACGCGCACCGAGTACAGCCCGAAGGGCACCAGCGACTCCACCAGGGTGCTGGACGCGGAGGCGCTCTCGATGCGCACGAAGCGCCTCTTCGACACACCCTCTACGTCCCACTGCTCGCTCAGGTCCAGGGCGGGGGTCCGCGACTTGGCCGTCTTGGGGAACTGCGCATAGCAAGCACAGCAAGGCTGTTAGGGCAGTGGTTCTCAACCTTAGGGTCGCGACCCCAAGCGGGGTCGCGAAATTTTTTAAGGGGTCGCGGCGATGCTGGGGTCGTGTTTTAGGCCGATTTTAAGCAGCCACTGCGTCTGATCCGAGGCGGGCATTTTGCTCCCTCAACGGGCAACTGGTCTTTGGACCTTCCTTTAGCATGCCTTTGTTACGGAGTGCAATTATCAGTCTTAGTTTGGGAGCAGTATTGTCTCAAAGTTGGCCAAAACGCTCAGAAATGTCTTTGAAAAATCGTGTTTTGGGCCGATTTTAAGCAGCCACTGCGTCTGATCCGAGGCGGGCATTTTGCTCCCTCAACGGGCAATCGGTCTTTGGACCTTCCTTTAGCATGCCTTTGTTACGGAGTGCAATTATCAGTCTTAGTTTGGGAGCAGTATTGTCTCAAAGTTGGCCGAAACGCTCAGAAATGTCTATGAAAAATCGTGTTTTGGGCCGATTTTAAGCAGCCACTGCGTCTGATCCGAGGCGGGCATTTTGCTCCCTCAACGGGCAATTGGTCTTTGGACCTTCCTTTAGCATGCCTTTGTTACGGAGTGCGATTGTCAGTCTTAGTTTGGGAGCAGTATTGTCTCAAAGTCGATCAAAACGGTCGCAAGTGTCTTTGAAAAATCGTTGTGACTATTTTGGTCAACTTTGAGACAATACTGCTCCCAAACTAAGACTGATAATCGCACTCCGTAACAAAGGCATGCTAAAGGAAGGTCCAAAGACCAATTGCCCGTTGAGGGAGCAAAATGCCCGCCTCGGATCAGACGCAGTGGCTGCTTAAAATCGGCCCAAAACACGATTTTTCATAGACATTTCTGAGCGTTTCGGCCAACTTTGAGACAATACTGCTCTCAAACTAAGACTGATAATTGCACTCCGTAACAAAGGCATGCTAAAGGAAGGTCCAAAGACCAACTGCCCGTTGAGGGAGCAAAATGCCCGCCTCGGATCAGACGCAGTGGCTGCTTAAAATCGGCCCAAAACACGATTTTTCAAAGACATTTCTGAGCGTTTTGGCCAACTTTGAGACAATACTGCTCCCAAACTAAGACTGATAATTGCACTCCGTAACAAAGGCATGCTAAAGGAAGGTCCAAAGACCAGTTGCCCGTTGAGGGAGCAAAATGCCCGCCTCGGATCAGACGCCGTGGCATGTTAAAGGAGGGGTCCCGTGGGGTCGCGAAATTTTTCCTGGGGGTCGCGGAAATTTTTGGCTTTAAATTTGGGGTCGCGAGCCGAGAAAGGTTGAGAACCGCTGTGTTAGGGTGCTGTCCGGGTCGCGGCGCAAGACCACCTACACTTACGTTCTGCTCCGAGTCCTCCACCCGGAGGTTGTCGGCCATGACGGAGTACAGCACGTGCGCGCAGCGGTCCAGCGAGACGACGGGCCGGCCGCACGCGTCCTGCACGTCCCTGCCCCGCAGAAGGCGCTCGCACTGGTCCTCGTCGAGCGGCACGCGGCAGCAGCCCAGGCAGCAGCACCCTTCCGAGGAGTCCGCGTCGGTCGCGTCACCCTGCAGCCAGCGGTACGCCGCGTCCGGCGTCAGTGACTCTATAAAACAATAAAACAATGAAATAAAGTGTGCTGGTTTATCCACCCGCCTCATGAACCCACGACTAACCGTGGACGGCTCCCCCGGCGGCGGAGGGCAGCTCGCAGAAGTCCTTGTCACCGAGCTGTCGTCGGTCGTCGTCGTCGCGCAGCTCACCCACCACAATGTAGTGGCTGAGGCGGCCGTTGGCTCTCGGCGGAGGCTCCCACGCCACGAGCAGCGTCCCCGTGCCGTGGGCCGGCGTCGTGGGGGCAGCCGTCGAGGACGCCGTCGAGGACGCCGTCGAGGACGACGACGAGGACGAGGGCCGGACGGCCACTGCCCGCGCTGCAGCGGGCGGCGTGGGGCGGTCGGGCCTCGTACGGAAGTACTTGATGGGGGAGTTGACCTTCGACTCCTTCGTGTAGGTCTTGATGTAGAACGCGTACAGCGTGGCGGGCTGCAGCCTGGGCACCAACTGGCTCACCTCGCCCTCGCTATTCCCTGGGACAGAAACACGTCACAACATCGGCGCTTTTTCGGGTTCCACCAGTAACCAACCGGAAGGGCCCGGAAGCAAACCTTTGTCGAAGCGCACGTCGTGCACAGCCCAGCCGTCCAGGCTGGCGTCGCCCGCCACGTTGCCCGGGTCGCCCTCGTCGCACTGGGCCGTGCCGCTGTACTCCGTCACGTTCCTGGCGGCGGCCCGCGCCACGAAGATGGCGTACTCCATGACCTCGTTGGCGGGCTGCCAGGCCGGCCACGTCAGCACGACGGACTCGGTCTCCAGCCTGGACACGGTGGAGGACATGTGGGGGCGCTTGCCGCACGCGTTGGTGAAGCCGTTGTACGAGTTGAACATGTCGGCCACCTCGACCACCTTGGCGAACTTGTCGATCTGGACCGTCCTCAGAGGCAAAAGGGGAGGCGAGGTCAAGGCAACACTAGTCGCGGCCGAGAGTGCGGGAACAAACACAGCGAGTCGGGGTTTCCGAACCAGGACCTACTCACCTCCTCGGGGCAGAGACGCGGGTTGTAGAAGAAGCTGGCCTCCTTGGTGCCCGGGCCGATGGCCAGTGAGGTGGTCTTGCTGCTGTCACCCCAGTCGAACAGGTACTGCAGGTTGGCGTTGTCGTTGACGAAGATGGCCACGCTCCTGCCGGGGTCCGTGTTGTTGATGAGGTGCAGCGACCGGAAGAAGTGCAGGGACGTCAGCGGCCGCGACCTGCAACGAGGGCCGAACGAGGGCCATTCGAGTCACCATCACCGCCGTGTCGCGTCGCGTTTGCGGCCCCGCACACCGTACCTGCTGACCACCAGCGACCCCATGATGACCTGGACCTGCCCGAGCGCCACCGTCAACTCCCTCTCCACCTCCTCGGTGTGGCCCGAGTGGATCTCGATCTCCAGCGAACCGTTGATGATGGTGCAGCCCTTGAGGTTCCGCGCGTTGGAGATGGAGCGCACCGACGCCGGGTCGCACACCTTCTTGCAGGGGCCTCTGGAAGTGCAAGCAAGGCGAGTTCAAGGGCGTGTCAGGGCGGGCCCGAAAGCCAGACGATCATTTGTGGTCCAGGCATTAATCGCAATCGCAAATCGCCTGCCGGGTAGGCAACCCGTCGAGTTCGACACACGGCCGCGCGGCGGGGTGCCTAACTCGCCGGCGCCTCACCCGCCCGGTCTTGCTTTGCACTTACTTGCACGGCTCGCACTTCCTCCGGACGCGCTTCGTGGCGGCGACCAGCTCGTCGACCTCGAAGTAGCCGGAGGGGCACTCGTTGACGCACACCCTGGAGGCCATGGTGGAGCTGCTCTTGATGACGATGCCGCCCGCGTAGTTGTGGCCGCCGGCGCTGGGGTGCTCCTCCACGCACCAGTCCGCGTGCACGCAGCGGCGGCCACGAAAGAGCACCCTGCGGCAGGTCGCGGGTTCGAATACTGGCCGCTTGGGTTGGCTTTGCCCGACAGGATACTGTCACTCACGTCTGTCCGGGACACCGGCTGATGCAGCGGCCCGCGAGCTCGGGCCCCAGGCACGCGGTGCAGTCCCTGTCCGTGGTGCCGTGGCAGCCCACGGCGCAGTTGGGGTGGCAGTCCCTGCCGCTGGGGGCCTTCTTGGCGGCGCGGACGCGGCACTGGCCGTAGCCCCAGCACAGCCCCGACGGACAGTCGCAGGGCCGGCAGTGCTCGTTGTTCTTGGTGAAGACGTTGTCGCTGTCGCTGCTGGCCGGCGCCAGCACGGACCAGTCCACACTCTCGGCCAGGCAGAGCTCGGGGTTGCTTTGGACCCTCACGGAGCCACGCATGACGAGCTGCAGCGCCGTCAGCCCCAGCTGTGGTAGAGAGGGAGAAAACGAGCTCTCACTTCGGCGGAGACGACACCAGTAGAAAACACTTTGACGCGTCGCGTACCTCCAACAGCTGCGGCAGCTCGGACACGACGAGGGCGTACTTGTCGATGAACAACTCGTTGCCGCGAATGAGCGTGAGGTTGGGGAAGAGCTGCCCCAGTGAGAGCAGCCCGTTGACGCGGAAGAACAGCAGGTAGCCCGTCACCTCGCGCAGCTGCGGGAAGGACAGGCGCTGGAAGTCCTCCTGCTTGGCGTTCTCGATGAGCACGACCCGCAGGAAGCCCTCCACCACGACGCAGCCCTTGAGCTCCGCCTGGAAGCAGCGAAGCAGCGCGAATGGCGGCGGTTAAAACCGCTCGGGTCGGCGCCGCCTCGCCGTCCCTCCGAATGAATGCATCTCGTGCATCACCTTGAGCTTCGCGGCCGAGTTCCGGATGTCCTTGTCCCCGACGCACACGGACCGCAGCTCCGGGTTCTTGGGGTTGCTGACGTCATCGGCGACGTCGGTGCCGATGCTCGCCCTGCACGCCGTTACGAAGAAGGCCGCCGCCAGGACGTAGCAGAGCCCCTGGAGGGGTGGAGCAATTATTCAATACCCACAGAAAAATAAATTGAAAAGCGAATAAAATGTTGCAAATGATGTAGTGTACATAAGTTGGTACCCCTGTTGTTGTAGTCTATATAAGCAGCGTTGACTGCCAATAAAGCAATCAGTCTAACTGAGAGTTGTCTGTCAGTCATTCCACCATTCCTTCCGGCCCAGCCCACACGGACACGACAAATGACAGCGATTCCCAGGGCTAGGGTCAGAGGCCTCTACGCCCAGGGACATAAGAGCGGCTTCCTCATACACGGAAGAGGTCATTGTACCCTGCTGATACAGACCTAGCGGAAGGCGGGCAGAGATGCGAAAGAAGGAGGAATGATGATATAACCAGAGAACGCAACACATTTTCATCGTGTCGAGACGAGAGGAGACGCCTTGTCGAGCTGCCGCTTCGCGGGGCACGGCACCGCGCCTTGCCTGCCAGCTCGGCTTGCCGCGGCAGAGGCCAGGCATTTCTTAATATTTGGCGTGTGCCTTGCCGCCTTGCCGCCTGGAAGGCGGTGGCCGAGGCCGTGCGGGCTGAGCGAGCGGGCTTCGGCGCGGGCCTCGTCTCGGTCGTCTCGGCCTCGGCGCGGGCCGCCTGACGGAAAGGAATTCGGACGCTGCATCTCAAGACGCTTATGGGAAGGGGAGCAGCAAAGAGGCTTTCATCACGTTCAGTGCGCGAACGCGGCAACGCGGCCCGACGATTTAAACGGGCCGTTTCCGAGGGGGAGGCAGAGAAAAATACCCGGTTTTAACAAAGAACAAAGATTTTTGCAACCCCAGCGTAATAAATGGAAACAAGAAACCTCCCCGCGACGACTCGCACAGAGAAGGAGGCGGCGGTAAACTTGCAAATGAAGGCAGATGGCGCATGGAGCTCGCCATCCGCGCCGTTCCCAATACCTTCGCAGGCGTCGTCATCTTGGCTGTCTCGGCCGTCTTGGCGGTGGTGGCGGCGCCGTGCCGGGAGGGTGGTCCTCGCGGCCTGGAGGTTCACCACCACGCCAGGGAACAGGCAACGCTGGCCGCTGGGCTGGGCGTCAACGCCCCCGCGAGGACGCACGCGCACACACACACACACACACACACACACACACACACACACACACACACACACACACACACACACACACACACACACACACACACACACACACACACACACACACACACGGCCGCAGCCTTTGTCCTCGTGGGAACGCCGTGCACCTGGCGCCGCGTTACCGCCGCGCCGCCTTCCTTGACGAGGCCGCCAATCCACGGGGCGTCGCGACGCTGCAGTCGGGGGGAGGTTCGCGTCGGCGGGGCGGTGGCGGCGGCGGCTGATTTAAAATTCCGCCTCACTCACGACACTTGGGAATTCGGCAGTAAACTCCGTATGGGGCGATAAAGCGGGCGGGCTCCTCCAAGTCCCTCGTCGGCGTGCCTGCGTGCCCGCGTGCCGCGCGTGCTCGTCGCGCAAAGCCCGTTATCACGCGTGTCGCGCTGTCGCGGCGGCCACTGCGGGGCCCCGCCGGCCTGGTCCAGGCCTGGTCCTGGGCCGCTCCTCGGCGTGCGCGTCCAGGCGCGTCCCCGTCGCCGCCGAGTGGGCGTCCGCCTGATTACTGTATTGGTCTGGCGCCCGGCGCGGCTCGGCCACGGCCTGCACGGCCACGCCGCGGAGCGCGGAGCGGTCGGTGCGTCCCCGAAGCCTAATGACACGCCGTGACGCCGTCGTGACTGGACGGCGGGGCCGAGCCGGCCGAGCCGAGGCGGGGGCCGTCCGGGAGCCACGACGTCCGCGACGACGGCAGAATAGGAGCGCTCGCGGCCTAGCCACTGTTGTTCTCCGGCTTCGCGAAATCTCTTCGACAAGTACTCGCTTTTCACTGCCACGGTCGAATTTGCCTCTCGTTTGGCTGTGGTGTCCGAGCATCGCGGTTCGCACCCGTTCGAAATTTCGACCGCCAGCGTGGCGGGGCGCCGCCGCCATTATTACTGGTGCCATGACAATGCAAAGTGCTCCTCGGGCAACTCGAGTCGGCGCGATGATTTAAGTGGAGGGATCAAGAAGGCCGCCGCCATGCTCAAGTCGGTCAACCCGTCAGGTACAGTGGGGACAGGACAGGGAAACACAGCGGTGACGACCTGACGCGTGTTCAGAGGTTCGCGGGCATGGCGGTTCGAAACGGACCACGTCGCGGATGGTCGTGGATCGACAAAGCGCCTCGGCACGGCGCTGTTTGTCGTTGTTTGTCAGGCTACACTGTAGAATGCACCCCGGCGGGGCGCGGCTCGTCGCCGAAACAGGTGTGGCGACGCCCACGATTGCGCGCGATCGGCCCTTCTTGAGCGCCCCTACGATCCTCTTCGGGATTTGCATCACAAAGTGCGACACTTACAGTGGCCCGGCCTGCCTGCCCGGCCCCGCGCCCGGAGCACCCGGAGTCTGTCCTAAGTCGTCTTTGTCGCAGGTCTGCTCAGACAAAGCTGTTGATGGGGACGGTACACTGTTTTGTGGCATGCCGCCGTCGTCACCGACAAGACTGGCACGCGGCCAACCAGAAAATCTAAGTTGTCTTGCTCGTCATTATTTCTAAGAATCTAACAAAATTTATCTGAAAACCATTTACCAACACAAAGTGCTAAGACGATTTTGTAATTTCCTTATACCACCCACAAGCTGTCATGGCCCCTATTCTAATTTCCGAAAAAGAGGAAAAAAACTCATTCAACGAACGTTAATGAAAGCAGATGATCCGTCGCGTTTCTCAACTGCTGTGATAGCCGAGAGGTTAGAGACGTGGGATCGAGTTACCGCAGACCGGCGTTCGAATACCAGCGTCACAAAAGTTTTTTCGACTTGCTATTCTAAGGGTGGTGGTTCGAGGTCATCAGAGCCGAGCCGTGTGCAACAGGCCCACGTGCCGGAGGTTCGACTCCTAACAAATATTTCCATTTAATTTTATTGCCTCACCCAGTGCGGTTAAACCCGTGAACGTGAGTCCACTTCAAGCATGGGACGTGGTGGTCCAGGGAGTAGAGGCGTCGGTTCTCAGTGCTAGGGTCGGCGGTTCGACTCCCCCAACTTCTTGCGAAATTTTGACCGGGTCGGTCGAGTCCTGTTGCGTCAAGAACCCACCTCACGCCAATCCCCTCATCATAGGCCGTGGTGGCCGAGAGCGTAAAGTCGTGTGATCCCGATGGCGGGGTTCCGGGGATCGAATCCCATCATTTCATTACATTTTTCGACTGCCTTCCTCCCACTGCAACTCAAACCCGTCGTCCAACACGCCACCAGACGTACAAGCGTGATAGCGTAGTGGTCAGAGTCACATTCACCTGGCCACTCCGCTGTGGGTGTCTAAAAAGCAATCCGCTTCGGCGGGTTGGCCTCGGCACTGGAGCGATGGCGTATTTGATCCATCAATCCAGACCACCCGGTGTGTGGTTGCGGGTGGTGCCTCCTCGATTCGTCGGGGAGGCGATGATAAGTCCTTTGAAGCTGGCCTAAAACGCTGTATGTTCGGTACGGGAGCGCCGGACAGTGGGGGTACCATGGGGTACACAACCAACCCTACGAAAACAAGAAGCTCCCACCAAACCTCTTCTCTGTCTGAGTCTCTCTCTGTCTCTCTGTCGTCTCACTCTACGTCCCGCCCCTCAAAGAGCTTCGTACTGGGTGCTCTCACCCAGCTGCCTGAGCTTTGGGGTCCTACTGGGTCCCCCGGCGAACGCTTAGAGTCGCTGACGGGATTAACCCCAGGTACCTGATAGCACCGGTTCCCATCCCGAACACCGAAGTAAAGCAGGAGGCCTCCCCATTAAGACTGGGGAGGGGGTGTAGAGTTCAAATTTTTTTCTTTTCCCTTTCAAATTTCTTGGTTAATACTCGTTTGGTTTTCTTATACGCAGTAGTATGCGGGCTCATTCCAAAGATAGTAATTAAAATTGTGTATGAAACAAAATATATAGACCCGAGCGAGGTGGCCGGTGTTGGTACTAGCCATGCCGAGCTGTGGCCTGCACCGCCCGCCAAGCTGGCCCGAGTGCCCCGGACCGGGCTGAATCGGGAGGCATTGTTGCGCGATATTCCGTGCCTTGGCAGGCGGGGAGGGATTGTCAATGTTGCGCGCAGGCCGTCGCGCGCGAGGAGGGGGTGCCATTGTTTACGCCCGGTGCCGCTGGCGCTGTACCGGGGAGTGATTGTCGAATTCCGCGCAGGCTGCGCCTCATTGCCAGCCACACGCACCAGCCCGCCCTGGCCGCCAGCCCCTATTATATTGTTAAGGACACGCGCTTCGTTTCTGGACTCGAGAGTAAAAGCACGCTGACACCTTCATGTGTATAGTAGTTTTAAGTATGTTTCAAGTGTGAAGGTATCATCTGCTAAAAACATCTTGGCAAATACAGTGATAAATTAATGGACTGGCCGAGGGTGGACGCGTGGACGCGTGCTGCCCCTTGCGGTGGCGGGGCGTGGCGGGGAGGGCCGGGAGGACGCGGACGCACGCGGATGGGGTTGTTGTGCCGTTCTTGCTCCACGCAGTAATCTGCCGCAGACAGACGAAGTTTCGCAGCAGGACATAAGTAGCAAAACCACCACAGTGCCGCCCCCGCCGCCCTCGCACCACAGTGCAGCACCGCGGCGCCGCAGCGCCCCACACACAGCAAGGCGGCGAGCACGTGGCGGCGGGGCGGGGCGGGGCGGGGCGGGGCGGGGAATTGAACCAGGACAAGATTACAAACCGTGTTTGACTTTCATCACACGGCCGCCGCGGTCCGCAAACCGCCTCTTTAAATTAGTTAAATTTTTTCTTGTTCGTTTTACTCGGCCAGCGTTTTTGAACGGCCTATCTCGGCCGCGTGCACCGCCACTCCCACACCGGCACCACGACGACGGCGGACGAATGGCGGATCCATTCCCGCGGCCAGATTGGAGCGGCTCTATGGCCGGACAGGTGGGACGGCGTTAAAAATAAAACAAAGAGAGGGAGGAATACAAAACGGTGTGGTGAGTGTGGACACGCCGCTGGCCGTGCCTGAATGCCGCGTTTACCGGTCCAGGGTCCAGGGAAGTGGCAGGTGCGAGGCGCGAGGCAGAGCGAGGCGAGGTGTGTGATGGCGGATTTCCTCCCACTCCACTCGCGGACAAGAGACAAAAGACAAAAGACGCGGCGGAGCGCGTGCGTCACTCGAAATCCCGCGTCCTCTTGTTGTCAGCCGGCGTAATCACGGGCGTGATTAAGTCTCGGTTAGGCGCGCCCAGGCACGCCCAGGCACGCCGCACACACGCTGCGTGATACGCCCGTCTTTTGTCCCGGTGTGAGGCTAGCGGGGCGGGGCGGGGCGGGGCGCCGAACAATCCGAAATCCGAGTCGCGCCAGACGGGGTGTCATTACCCGCACGCCAGCAGATATTGCTCCGCGGAAGAACGAAATTAAAAGAGAAAAGAGGGGCAAGGCAAAAGTGCGCGCCGCGCCAGTGTTTGAACCCAAGACCTGGCCCCTTTTGTTTCCAGCGACGTGCCCGTGCGTGCGGCGGCTGGCGGGGGCGCCCGGTTCCCGTCGCCGGGCAGCCTTCCTGCAGACGGCGCCGAGGTTCCCCACCAGGACCGCATCGAACAATGTCAGTAAGTTTTCAGCACATGTTTGTCAAAAAAAATGTTGAATTTTAAAAACGACGAAGAAACTGTGGAGTTAAATCTTGCACTTTTGCCGCGGCGATGCGAGAGAGTTGCTTGATGCCCACGGGTTCTTTGACACGTACCCGTCCGCAGGCCCCGCTCAGTTCAACAAGGTCGGCATGGCGGAGCTGGTGGGGCGGCGGTCCAGGATGCCCCGCATGCGTTCGGGGGGCTTCTTGTCCAGCACCATCAAGGAGACGTGTCCGTTGCCACGCGACGCCCTGCGCCGCCCCGGCCCCGCCCACTACCACGTCGAGCTGGACAAGGTGCGTGGGTTCGACTATGGGCGGCGGCCGGGTGTTTTCTGTTGATGGTGAAGTCCAGGCCTCATCGCGTTGGCTCCTACAGCGGAAGCGGCTGGGCGAGGCGGCCACCCCGGCCAACGCGGCGCT